ATAAAGGGAAGAGAATGAGAGAGAGAGAGAGTGAGAGTGAGAGTGAGAGGAAAATTGAATAATTTTACCTTCCTGAGAAACAGCAAATTACACCATGGAAAAAAATAATAGAGGAAGAAAAGTAAAACTCAAACGAGATCATTTTATCTTCCTTATTATTATCAATCACACATGATGATTATTATCACTGTTTCGGATTCTGATTGGGAAAATAAGCTCTTTAATCAAGTTAATTTCTAATTCAAATTTGTCAGATTAATTAATTATTCAAACTTTCTACCTTAGTTGTTATCAAGAATCATTGAAAATTACCTTAACCAGGATAAAAAAAAAATAAAGTCTTAAATTTCATCTGCTGAATGATGATGATGATCATTGTTAATATAATATTAATGCAACTACACCAACATCAATTTCAACTTTTCTAATTTACTCTGTTAACAAACATGATAACTTTTCATTCATCTGCTTACGGCAATCATCCCATTCCTATCAGTTCAATGTAGGGAGAGAGAGAGATCATTAAGATGATAGTAATTATGATGATGAAGATAATCACCCCCAGCATCTTTAGTATTAAGATGAACCCCTTTTGCAATAGAAATTACATTTAACTCTCTCAATCCCTTTTCCCCTTTTATTTAACTAATTGCATATTATTTTATCTTCATCATCTCTTCACAATTCATATTAGCAATATCAAGTCTACCTGTTCACAATTCTGGCAATGATTAACAACAAGAAGATGATAATAATTAGGGGAAAGTGATGTAAATCCACTCGCACTCTCTCTCTCTCTCTAACTCTCTCACTCTCACTCTGACATTATGATATAATAGCTGTTAGACAACTATTTGTTTCCCTTTCCCTTTTCATCATTTTCTTAACTCTTTCCAACTAATTCTTAATCATCTCAACTTGTTCAGGCAAATGATTAGACTGGTTAACCTTGGATAGACTCAACATACTACATGAAACAAACATTTGCCTCTAACTCTCTGGTTCTCTCTCTCTCTCTCTCTCTCTCTCTCTCTCTCTCTCTCTCTCTCTCTCTCTCTCTCTCTCTCTCTCTCTCTCTCTTTCTATCTCACTAATTTCATCTTCTCCGTCTTAAAACAATCTTCATCATCATTTTTTTATCATCCTTTTCTTCCGTCCTTTCTTTTTCAATCCCGAAGGAGTGAAAATCCTCTTTCTCTCTCATTCGTATTTTAATACATCGCTTAAGATTCACTTTTCTTACTTGTGGATCCCCTACACACACACACACACACACAATCCAACGTATTATGTAACTAAGATCTGATTCATTTGACTGATTAACTCTCAAGGCTTTCCTCTTTTCTTCATTAGCTTTATCATCATCATCTTTATCTTCATCTTCTTAAATTTTTCTGTTCATGGGGACAAGAAATCATGCCCATGAGGTTTTAGGTATAAAATTGGTAACTCAAATAACCAAAAACTTCATCAAAGTGTTAATATTATTTATAAATATTGGTAAATTCAGTTAATTACAATAATGATAAACTTGTCCCAAAGACCTTGATTATATCCATGATTATAACAATTAAGCCTAAAAATGATTGTAAATTTCAATAAATTAAAAATCTTATGTAAACAATGATTAACACGCAATTAAAAATTACCATTTAATTCACGAAGATTAATCAAGAAGAAGGAGAAATTCATGAAATCATGAAATTAGCTTGATAATAATATCAATCGAATTGAGAAAGAGAATTAGAATGAGAGAGAGAAAAAGAATCAAATTAACTTAATTGTTACAAGAATAGTAGTTAATATAAATATACAGAATCAGCTTGATTATTATACAAACTATCAGGTTGGTTAATGAAACAAAATCATTATTTGATTGACTTCATTGCAAACAATTAAAGTTAAACAATTAATTTACTATTGAAAGGAGATATTCATCAACGGTAAAAAAAAGGCAAAGTGATATTGGTGAAAAGAAAACAAAAAAAGTTAATCATTACAATCAATAAATTGAGTGAAAAGATTTCATGATAATCAAAGTGAAAAATCATTACAAGACAATCAGAAGAAAACAATAATCAACGTAATCAAAGATCATTAAAGTTAATGTTGTAACTGATAATGATCATTAAGGTGAAATTGGTTAAATTACCTCAATGAAATTGTTTGCTCATTTCAAGTAACACTTAATGATGAATCTAAATTATTATCTGAATCAGGGGGAAAAGTTACAAATCAAAAAATTGAGAATTGAAACATTGATGAATATAAGAAGTAAACTATCAAATTAAACATTTAAAATCTAATTGCAATTAAAGTTAACCGATATGGAGATGAGAGAAATTACAATTGCAATCGATTGATAAATAAACTTTCGTCGAAAGTTAAAAGTTTCAATGAACTTTCGTATTGTGTGTATCGATAATGATTGGCGATTGGTAAAAGTTTTTTTCTATCATCAAGACATGGAAAATGTTGTTGATTGAGTAAAAGGTTGAAATTATTAATATTAACTATGAAAATAATAGTATTAATATCATGATAATATCTTTGTAATAACTAAAGGTGATTTAAATTGTCCGCAGGGATAAGTTTAATGTCACCTTTTTATCACAAATAATATGAACATGTATTGGGTTTTATATCATCAATTGAATTATATCAAGATCTTAATGGTTAGTGTAAGAGTGAGAGAGTGATCATCATTATCACCCAAACAGTTGATGATGATGTTAACTTAAAGTTGTCGTTTTTTTTCAAAAGGTATTATCATTTGGGTGGTAAAATAAGGTGAGCATTTGAAAACCCATAACGGCTATCTGGTTATCTAATACCCGCCGGGTATCATCTATGTGCTCTCATCTTTTGTGATAACTTTTTTTTTCATGTTGATAAAAAAAAATATATAAACGGATCAAAGTTTTAATAGGATGCAATGAAATTTTGGTGTCTGTTGTTAGTTAATCATTTAAAGTGTAACTAAAAGACTGAAACTGAATTGCTCATGATGAGTAAAAACAGATTTCATGGTAATATTTGCCTCAAGAAAAGACTCTCACTCTGACTCTCTCTCTCTTGTAATCTTTAATGATAGAAACGATTTGATGATGACAATCATTATTATCACTCTATTATGATAATCATTATTGCTTTTTATCATTTAAGAAGCAAAATCTTTACCAGAGAAACAAATTGTTACCAATATCTTTACACCTACAAGGCCTTTAAGGTTCATTCATGAGCTTTTCCAATAGGAAATAACTACAACATGTAACAAACCTCAATATTGAAAGTTTGGGTGCAAATTTACAATAACGGTGATTAACTAAGATTCCGTAGCTATTAATATGATTATTATTGTTGTTATATTAGTTTAAATAATAATTTCAAGTTCTGGAGAAGAAGAAAAAAGTTAGTAATTTTTTTTTCTCTTCCAGGTAAAAAAATAAAAACACAAAATGAGCTTTTTTTCATGGTAAGTTTTCAGTTTTTTTTACCGGGAAAATGTTATTGTTATTATTGATGATGATAACAATATCATCATCATTTCATGATAATAATAATACTGAGAAAGGATGATGATGAGAATTGACGTAAAGATTGAAATATCTTGCTAGAAAATCTGACCCCCAAAAGTGGGAAGAAAAGGATGAGGATCAACGATAGAGACCGAGAGAGAGATGAAGGAGGTGGAGGTGGTAGTGGATTCTAAGGTGTAAGATTATGATGAAATAAAGGAGAAAAGATGTTAAAAAGACGATGAGGATGAAAAAGAAGCAAGAATTTATCAGCTTTTCCTCTACAAATAATAAGAAAGTAGAAGAAGATAAGATAAAAAAAGTATGAATATGCTAAGATGTTGATGAGGATAAGGATGATTATCTTATAAATCGGAAATGCAGATGAGAAGATGAAGATAATTCAAAAAAATGATGAAAAATAAGAAGGAAAAAAACATGAGAAAAATAAAATAACAATTTTAGATTGAAAATATTAGGTAGTTTTCACAGTTTGAATTGTAATGTCTTTGCTCATTTCGCTCATTTCTTTTCAAGGCGAGGGCTAAAACTCAATAATTTCATCATCGCATCTTCATCTTTCTTGTTATTCTAAACTCTATGCTTCATGTCGGTCAATTTCATTTTATTGGAACCAATAAGTTCAAGCCCATCCGGTCTAAGAACTGACCTGCAAATTGCATAAGCATTTGCAGCGATTGTGCAAAAAAAAAATAAACGTAATAAGTTTTTCATTGCAAATGAATTTATTTGCAAACAGTAAGCAAGAAATAAGGTAAAGTTAAAAGCTATTTTATGGTAACAGAATAGAAACCAGAGGATGATGATGATGATGAAGGAGAGAGATGATAAAATGATGAAGATGATTTGAGAAGGAAGACAAAGCGAGGGAGGAGAGGTCAAATAGAATGAGAGAGAGAGATGCAATGATGAACGAAAAAAAGAGAATAAGAAAATGCCTTGAGGCGTTTTTCTTTACCTAAGTGATGAACAAGAAAGAAAATGATGAAAAGATGAAGAAGCGAAAAGAAGATGAAAAAAATTATTAAATGATTGGGAGAAAAAGATGAATAATAATAACGGAAGATCCAAATAAATGATAATAACAATAAATAATAATTACAATTATTGTTAATATAAATGCAAAAGAAATTAGAATCAATGAAATAATGGTGAGAGATCGTAAATCAGACATGTTTGGGTCAACAGGTAATAAGTTTTAACGAGATGATTACATTTGATTGCAAATGGAATCAAAATACTGATGAGAAATTAGGATAAGAGATAAGTAACTTTTCACTGGATTGACACACAACAGGTTTAGAAAAGTTTATGGTGTTGAAAAGATATGATAATAGTTACGACGATTAATCAATTTAAATGATCATTTTTAAAGCAATTAAACGAAAAGTAAAAAACATCATCATTTCATCATTAATTTATAATCAAGTTGACATTGAGTTTATTGATTTAATGAATGAACATTTTGTGCGACACTTACTTGGACAAAATGATTCTTAGACTCGCAATTGAACTAATATCTCCCATTATGTCGCCCACAGTGGCATCAACTGAATCAGTTATTTGGTCCAGTGTTAATGGTTTCCAGTTCCTCAATTGGATAAATCCTGTAAGAGTAAAAGATGATAATGATAAAATTGAGTTACAGAGATGAAGCATGATGGAGGTGGTGGGAGAGATGGAGGAGCATCATTGTTATTTACACACTCGTAAAGTGTTAAAAGTAAAGATGAAGGCGATTCCTGGCTACTCATCATCATTTCTCTTTCTTTTTTTTTTACTTTTTCCTATTCTCTGTCTGTTATATCTGAATGTTTCTCTTTCAAACCAACAATTACTAGATTATTCACTCACTTATTCTCTCTCTCTCTCTCTACTAACTCTCTTTAGTTTTATCTTTATCTTCATCATCTTCTTTCTGAAAATGCATAAGAAAAAAACTACTTTATATTGTAACCATATTTTACTTTACTATGGAAACATCTCATGAATCTTACTTCACTTTCTTTGTAGGTTTACCTTTACCTTTCATCATCATCTTTTCTCATCTTCATCTTCATCCGCATCACCATCATCTTTATCCTCATCATCTTTCTTCCTTCCTTTTTTTGAGTAAATTTTTTTTCACTTTTCTCGTTTCAAAAGGCAATAAATGTTTTCTGATCCTCAACACATTATTATATAAAATATTATATATTAAGCAAGAGAGAGAGAGAGAGAGAGAAATGAGGGAGTAAGTAAGAGAGAAAGAGAAAGAGAGCTAGAGTGAGAAAGGATGATGATGAGAATTGACGTAAAGATTGAAATATCTTGCTAGAAAATCTGACCCCCAAAAGTGGGAAGAAAAGGATGAGGATCAACGATAGAGACCGAGAGAGATGAAGAGGAGGTGGAGGTGAGTGGATTCTAAGGTGTAAATTATGATGAAATAAAGGAGAAAAGATGTTAAAAAGACGATGAGGATGAAAAAGAAGCAAGAATTTATCAGCTTTTCCTCTACAAATAATAAGAAAGTAGAAGAAGATAAGATAAAAAAAGTATGAATATGCTAAGATGTTGATGAGGATAAGGATGATTATCTTATAAATCGGAAATGCAGATGAGAAGATGAAGATAATTCAAAAAAATGATGAAAAATAAGAAGGAAAAAAACATGAGAAAAATAAAATAACAATTTTAGATTGAAAATATTAGGTAGTTTTCACAGTTTGAATTGTAATGTCTTTTGCTCATTTCGCTCATTTCCTTTGCAAGGCGAGGCCTAAAACTCAGCCAATTTCATCATCGCATCTTCATCTTTCTTGTTATTCTAAACTCTATGCTTCATGTCGGTCAATTTCATTTTATTGGAACCAATAAGTTCAAGCCCATCCGGTCTAAGAACTGACCTGCAAATTGCATAAGCATTTGCAGCGATTGTGCAAAAAAAAAATAAACGTAATAAGTTTTTCATTGCAAATGAATTTATTTGCAAACAGTAAGCAAGAAATAAGGTAAAGTTAAAAGCTATTTTATGGTAACAGAATAGAAACCAGAGGATGATGATGATGATGAAGGAGAGAGATGATAAAATGATGAAGATGATTTGAGAAGGAAAGACAAAGCAAAGAGGGAGGAGAGGGAGTCAAATAGAATGAGAGAGAAGATGCAATGATGAACGAAGAAAAAGAGAATAAGAAAATGCCTTGAGGCGTTTTTCTTTACCTAAGTGATGAACAAGAAAGAAAATGATGAAAAGATGAAGAAGCGAAAAGAAGATGAAAAAAATTATTAAATGATTGGGAGAAAAAGATGAATAATAATAACGGGAAGATCCAAATAAATGATAATAACAATAAATAATAATTACAATTATTGTTAATATAAATGCAAAAGAGAATTAGAATCAATGAAATAATAATCATTTCATTCAATCACCAATATTGAACACAACAGGTAGTCAAAGTAACATTTTAATTGAGATGTAACTTTGATTGATTTTCGTTAAATAGCAAAACAATATTGACGGCAGAGGAGATGATGAGGATGATGGAAATGAGAGAGAGAAGGTAAGAAAACTATTATAAACATTCATTAGTTTTTTTCTTCTTCACAATCATCTATGGTTATTTACTAATCAAGATTATTATTGTTATTATCATCATGATATAAACACTCATGTAAACACATCTCATCATCTTCTTTCTGTCATCGTCAGCATCCTTGATTTTTTTGTTCCTTTCTATTCAAATTAATATACTTTATTATTATTATAAATATACACAAACACTAGTTGATTTGGATGAAGATAATTGCTCAATAAGATGAGGATGATAATTTCTTAAGACGGAAACAATAGGAAGACAACCTAGTGTGAGTTTAATTCATTTCGTTGTGGTCTAGTTTTATTTTATCAACCGTTGACTTTGATTAATATATTTTATTGCTCTTGATTGTTGATTATGATTAACATGATGATGATGATGATCCATTGAGAGTGAAAAACAAAAGTGATGGGGAAAGAGGAAGATGCTACAGTTTTCCTATTTAATGCAACTAGGTGAAAAAGAGTTACCTGTAATTGTGGTTTCAGGGTGTCGAGGACTATTAGTGTGAGTGTTTAATCATGAAAATTAGAAATGAGGGAGTAAAAGGAAAGGTAATTGAAAGATGATGATGAGAAAAATGAACCATTGATGGTGAATAATGAATTTCAGGTTTTCATCATCATGTTAAATATTCATTGGACAATTTACAGTTAGAGAATGAAAAATGTAATCATCAGAAATTAAATCATTTATTTTCATTCTAAATGCGCTTTGTCACCATTGCAACTATTTTTCTTTATTGTTCCCAATTTGCTTTTGTCACCCCTTTTATATTAGTTAATCATTATCATTTATTAGGGTTACTCAGTTTATCATTATTGTATTTATCTTCATCATCATCGTCAAATTGATCGGTATCATTGGTGGGCAGTGATTATAAACAGTCATCCTGTCGATGTATCAAAAATCATATCGAGGGAGGAAGAGAGAGAGAGAGAGAGAGAGGAGAGGGAGAGGGAGAGAGGAAAATCTGATTCTCTAACTGGACCTCTGACTTTTCAGAAACTTGAAACTTGCCAGTCAATTGTATCATGTTAAATAGGATTGAGAGATAATGACGATCATCATCATCATCAAGAGGAAAAAAATCGTCAACCTTGATAGTAAATGCGAAGGAGAAAGAGAGAGAGAGACAGAGTCAATTCTGAATATATTTAAAACTTCAATTGAATCAACTGATTACAAAAGGAATTAAATATAAAAAACTATTCAAGAGAAGCCTAAAAAATCATAATTGGAGAAAAGTAATAATTTTCAAATCAATTGTACTTATCATACAATTGTGATGTAAATCAATTATTTTATTTGATTATCATCATCATGAAAGAGTGAGAGAGAGAGAGGGAGAGAAAGTGGAAGACATCATTGAATTTTCTTTAATTAGTGAATGTAGATAAATAGAGAAAAGAGTTAAATTGTTGACAGGTGAGTAGATTCAGATCGGATCATGATGATTAAGCTAATGCTAATTCACTGTGTGATTAACTGGTAAAAGTTGTTTGGAAAACTGATCATAATAGTTAATTAACTGAGTCACTTATCGTAGAATTTTTTTTTGTCAGATTTTCCATCAGGTAATTTTTTCTTCTCTCTCCCTGTCTCTCATACAACTCTTTCTCTCTCACTCTCACTCTCACTCTCACTCTCACTTACTCACTCTCTGTCTCTCTTTCACTCGTATCTCACACAGACAATAAATAATCGCAGTAAAGTTCATGTTGATATTGATGTTTTCTTGTTGATTCTTGAGACGATTGAGGTTGATGATTGTCATCAAAAATCATGGATGAAAATCAGGTAAGCAATAGTTGAATAATATATACACATAGAAAGAAAGAGACAGACAGAGGAATAGTGAAAGAGTACCAGAGAAAGAGAAGAAGGAGCAGAAAAAGAAGGGAGAAAAGAAGTAGGTAAACATATGAGAAGAGAGAAGAACAAGAACAAGAAGAGAAATAGACACAAGTAGACAGAGAGAATAAGAAATATAGACAGAGGTGGATAAAGAATAAGATAAAAAGCAAAAAGGAAAGGAAAGAAAAGAAAAAGAATCGAACAATTGATTGGTTTGAAGGCCTTTTACACCTTTCATCTGTCATCTTGTAAAGAGAAAGAGAGAGAGAAAGAGAGAGAGAAGAAAAAGAAAGAGAATAAGCAGAAAAATGAAAACAGTCAACACAGAATAGAAGTGAAAAAAATTCTGTGTAAATCAATGAGAGAAAAGAATTTAAGTTTATATTCATATGAACATTATGAACAATTGGGTTTCTTTTCTTGTTGTTTTTTCCTTTTTCACTGTTAATTGTTATTGTTTTCTTCCTCTCTTCCTCTCTCTCTTTCTTTCTCTCTGTCATCCATTTCTCTTAATTCATAAACAGAAAGAGAGAGAGAGAGACTTAATTGTCTATACCGAGAAAACATTAGCAATTCATTTCCTTGTATAATATAAATTTCTCAATACGATTAAGGATTTGGGATTAAGATAAAGAGGGAGAGAAATAGAGATTAGTAAAGATATTGTATTTACCTTTGGCCCCAGTGATTTCGGATGTTGAATATCCTAAATGTAGAAGGGCAGTTTTCACTAAATTGGAAAATAATATTCCCGAAGTAATTATTGCAAAAGAATCTTGTTCAACAACACCCGATGGAGATATTGAGGCTGGAAAAGTTCTTGATGAACCAGAATTACCTGGTGATGAATCTCCGTTTGATTGTTGTTGTTGATTTAAAGTCGAGGAATGTTCAAAATTTGTGGATAAAAGGTTTGAATGATGGTGAAGATGATGATGATGATGATGATGATGGTTGTTATGATTGAGATAATTAAGAGGTGATTGATTGAGATTTAAATGATTCAACTGGAATGGATTATTGTTTAGTCCAAATAGATTACGAAGTGTTGATGTTGGTGATAATTGTCCAACAGAAATTGATTCACTATTGATTTTATTACTTAAATCTTGTAACGGGGAAATGTTTAATTGTCGTTGATTGTTCGGGCTGTTACTTGTGTTATTATTATCAGGACTTCTGGTATTATTATTGATTGATTTCTCTCCTATTGTAAGATTAACACAAGAATCACCATTTGATGTTATATTACCGGTAACATTGACACTACCACTGGTGTTGTTGTTGTTGTTGCTGTTGCTGTTGTTGTTATTAATATTATTCTCATCAAGATTACAATTATTATTACTATTGGTTAAATTGGCAGGATTAACATCAATATTTTCATCAACAATATTATTACAATTACTGGTGCTGGTTGAATTAACTGATTTTAATTCAGCAACACTTTCACTCCCTACAGTGCAACCTCCTTCACCTGAGTTTTTATCACCAGCAGATGATAATGATGATGATGTTGTTGGTGTAATTAAATTTTCTTTTGATATTAGACTTGGTGACAATGTCTTGTTTATCGTATTGAAACAATTTACTGATTGTGTAACAGATGATAATGATGAAGATGATGATGATGATGTTATTGCCAATGGATCAGTTTTAGAATCGATTGTTGTACCATCCGATATTAATTCGTGTGTAGTTAAATTAGCATTAGGATTACAAGAAGTTGATCCAATCGATGATCCACCACAATTTATTGGAAATATTGGTAAACAGGTAAGGTTGATGATGATGATGGAGAGGTGGTTGTAGTAGTTGTAGTACTATGGGTTACCGAATGTGTTGTTGTTGTTGTTGTTGAATTTGTTGTTACTGTTATTGTTGCTGTTGTTGTTGTTGTCAAATTACTTGTAGGTGAAAGTAAAGATGAAGATGAAAGTGGTAAAAGTGAGGTTGGTGTTGTTGTTATTGTCACTGGTGGTGTAGTTGAATTTGAAGAGACATTTGTTGGTGGTGATGTTGGTGAAGATGGTGAGGTGAGATTATTACTAACCAATGGACTAACCCTTTCAACAATACATCTAATTGGAATACTTGTTCGTCCTGTGAAACAAGCACAATCTAAGTAATCCATTGGCGCGTGCAACATAAACAACCATCAAAACATTAATAAAAAACAACATCAAGAAACAAATTCCGAAATCATTATCTTCATGAACCAAAGTGAGAAAGAGAAAGAGAGAAAATAAAACAACATTTACAGCGAGCGAAAAAAAAACCAGCAAATAGAAGATCGAATCACGTGACATAAACACTTCGCTTCAGAGTTGGAAAGTAATTCCATCTGTCGACACAATTAGAAAACATTTTCTTCTTTTCGGTTAATCCATTTGTTGATTTGTTTCCATTTTCTTAATTGCGAACAATTAACTTTGGCTTTTTTTCTTTTCTTTTTTTTGGCATTTTCATTGGTTCTTTTTGTTTCAATTGTCAAATTGGTGGAATTGTTCATAAGAGAAAAATCAACAGATTCTACTGGTTAATCTAAATCTCTCTTTCTCTCTTTAAATTATCTTTAATCATTTGGATCATTTTTCGTCATTTAATTTTCGCCTCCTGATTAACTTAATTTAATCTCTTCTTTTTTTTCTCTCTCTCTTGTGTTTTAATCATAAGAATCTCAAGGATTTGAGATTATGTGAGATTATCTATTTTCTTGTGGATTCGATGGTTGCATTGATTTTAGAATTGATTGTTAACAATTAAGATGATGAAGGAAAAAACAAGATTCAATTTAAATACGAATTAACAATTGATTAACAATTTCCTTTGTTGATTAGATAAAATGATTAGCATATCACCGGACGGAAACATTAATATTCAATGATAACAATTTAAACGAAACAAAGCAAAACAATTTGATGATTAAATGGTTTTAATAATCGATTGAAATTCAATTGATTGATTTTCATTTAAATTGTAATTATTTTCAGTTTTTCCATCAATTAATAAACAAAATAATCAACAAATCACCAGCAACAATTAAATAGTAGAATCAAAAACAAAAAACTAAAAGGTAGGCCAATGAACGATATCATTGATAGTTGATTGTTACAACAATTAGGTTAATAATATATTATTATTATTTGTAATTCTGTTGATTGGTTAACTCAATGATTGTCCAATTAAACAAAAGTTAATCTGGTTAAGAGAATCAGTCTAGTCAATTAACTGTCATCAAATTAATATCATGCAATCAATGAATCAGCAATTTAAAAGACAATTTATCATGGGGACAATTTCAATTATTCCTCTTCCTCTACAATTATACAATAATTAAGTATTAATTGCGTTGATTTAATCAGTTAACCAATTGATGAACAACGTAACAATTTATTAACCAATTTAATACTTGATTGTTTAATCATAATAATAATAAGAAATCCAGGTAATTCTGTGATAATAGTGAGTCGACAATTATAATTGTCCTAATCCAGATTTCCTATTTAACTACAACAATTTAGTAAATTTTGTTTTTGTCATTCACATTTGATTAACTAGTAATTTGATACAGTTAATCAGGTAAATAACCCATTAGAGAAAGTAAATTGAGTAACCTAATTAAATTAAACCATTCAATGGTTAACTGTAAATCATCATCATCATCATCATCAGTAATTAATATCGTTTCTTTGATTAAACATCATTCATACAATAATTACAATCAATTTGATTACGATTACGATGAGTATATTTAATTGGGTTTATAAAAGTTGGAAATAAGTAAAATAATGAAAAAAAAAATTGGATCAATCAAATCGACTTGTGATCTTAATTGTTGATCATTCATCTTCCGATGATAATTTGGCTGTTATGTTTAATATGGTTCCAAGTAGTGATTCATCTGAATTAAATCTCGAAACGTTGTTTAATTTAGCCAAATGATCAAAAACTTCGGGCGCTGACAATTGGCATTGTTCAATTGTTGACCATTTGCCACAGAGAAGGTCAATCAAATCCTTGATTAATCTGTTGATATGTCCCATGAAAAAATTAGTTAGATGAAACTTTTCATCGGTACATGAAGGAACTGCAGCTGATCTGATACAATTAACCAATTCATGGAATGAGCAACAGATTAACGGGAACAATTGATCGGAGGTCATATTACTCGATGAGAGGTAAATTTGATTGACCAAAATTAGTCCACAATCTTGTAAATCTTTATGGTAAGAGGTTGTTGCACATTCAAAAGCGGCGGCCAAATCTAGAGGGAGATTACGATTTGTATTAGTTGTTAATTGTAAGCAACAATTAGCTGATTGTTTGAGCAATTAATCACTTTACCTTGACGGGGTTTTCCTGGTTTACACATGGACTTCATTGTCCGTCCCAAACTTTTACCCAATATTTGGACAACTTGCCGAGGAAATGGTTTAGCGCAATTGTTGAAATTTTTTGCCTCATTTGAAAACAATTTACCATTTCTATGGATTAATTTGAACAATTAAGGTTAACTACAAGTTAATTGTTGATAATTTAATTCACTTACCTGCAATAAGCATCAATTTCTTTATCATTAGATGGGAATTTGATTCCTTGTTTAATGAAAAGCGCTTCTTTGAAAATCTTGTCCATTCGGTCAATTGATTTGTCGCAAGAACTGTTTCCATTTGCTTGGGTAACTAAATTAAGATTTAACAATTAACAATAAATTACGATTGGTTCAATGTAACACAATTAACGGTAAACTTACTAGAAATCAATGTGAACGGGATGAGGAAACAAAAAACACAAGTGAACATGATTGTAATGTTAATTGTTGATGAATGAGAATTAGATATTTATTTAAGTGAAGATGGTGACAATCAAGTAATCACAATTAAGAGATTGGAAAATTTTTCAACTAACTTTGTTTTTGGAAACTTTTCAAATGTGAATCTAAAGCTTGATAATCAAGGATAGATATTGAGAGAAACTGGAAATATTCAAGATGGATAATGATGATGATGAAGATGAAGATGATAAAGAAGATTGAGAATAAGATAAATATTAAAGTTTGTTAGAGAAAATTACTTTCACTTTTCGCCTGAGGGCATTTCGATCACAAATCAGTGAGAAATTACAACAACAATCTAATTACGATTGGAAAAGTTAATAGGAGTGACATTAAACTGACGAATTGTGAAAACTTATTAGTTTTTAATCGTTTATCACTTAATTGCCGATTTAGTTACTATTTTCATCACAATCTACGTAATTAACTCAACAATTAACTACAATTCTCGAAACCTTGACAATTTATTGAAATTTATTCATTCAAAAGGAAAATTATCTCATATTGAATCAATTTCGTCTTCTAATTAAATTGTTTACTTCGCAAATTAATTGTTACCATTGTTGGAAAATTAAAGTTTCTGTTTACAATTTAATTCAATCTAAATGGTTGTAATCAAGAAATAAGTTTAATCAGTTGATTACTATGAATTTACCTCAAGTACATTGACATGAATCTTCAAGTTATTAACCTTTTCATGTAGTTAATAACAGACAATTAACTAATCATTGCTTAGCAAATTATTTATTTAATTTTGAAACAATTTACTAGCAACGTTGCTTAATATCAATAGAGATACAATTTAATTCCTAAGGTGTTAATTTCTTGGAGTTGGTGTAATTTAGTGAATCAGTTGATCACTGGATATGACGATCGAGATGATTACGAAAAAAAGAAATGACAATTTGTGATTTAGATGTTGTTGTGATTGATTTAATCTAATCACCGATAATTAGTTTCCAAATTAACTTGTTTTCAAGCAATTAGTTTAATCGTTGAGTTGAAAACCTTGAAAAAATCTACTTAACCCTTGTAATTAAAATCAAATTTAATTGTGAATCGAAATTATCTTCAATCATAATTAATTGTGAGAGAGAGACTTAATCACCAACGAGATTGTTTTCAAATAAATTTTTCTTTTTATCCGATTTGTTGTTAAGAGATGAAATTGTAATCAACTGATTGTAATTAACTGTTGTTGATCAAATGAGAAAACAAGATTTTCATCTGTTTAATTGTGAACAGAAACAAGAGGTTTATTAATACAATTGTCACAATTAACTACGATTATTGTTTAGTTGATAAATTATCGCAAGTCAAAGTCTCGTCTCTTTGATTAAATACATATCGATGATACAATAATTAATAGATTACAATCACAACGATTAGATTTTCCATCGAGTGTATGATTTTCATATAAATGGTAAAGAGAAAGAGAGAAATTGATTTTCACTTTTAGCCTGAGGAGATTTTGATGACAACTCAGTGAGAAATTAAAACAACAATCTAACTAAGATTGGAAAAATGAATACTGATGATATATAATTGGGTAAACAATCAACTGGCTACTCGAGCTAAACAATAATCGACATCGGCCTCGTATAAGGCTTTCTCGATAACAGGTTGGTTTAATTTATTTTCTCGTCGAAATTTGTTCTTCAAATCTGTCCGAGTTCGTTTTCCGTTAAAAAAAAGGGTTGACATCAATGAGAAATCAGGCCCAATTAGGTTAAGTGCTGTATAAAATTCAATTGTTTCCGTTTTACTCCATCGAGCGGTCGGCGGTCGCTTACGAAACGAGGCATATGTCGTTTTACCACTGACTGATTCTTCAACTGATGTCGTTTCAACGGGCTTTGTTTTCTTGATCACCAAAGATTCTTCATCAATTATTATCTGACCATCAGGACCAACTTTTACACGAGGTCCAATGATCATACTGTCATCGTTTTCGATATTTGGAGTTTCGTCGTTTTCAGGATCTTTACTTCCAGCATCGGGTCAGTGGTTTTCTTTTCCTTTGGTTTTTGGTCCGAGAAATGGAACCATGAATGAGGTGAAAAATTGTGATGGAATTTCTGTTAAGTAAATCTTCTGGTGTTAATCTTATTCGTTTTGATGGCTGACCGTGCTCATTAACAGGAGCATCTTCATCAACAGGTGTCCCTGATGGAAGATGAGGAAGTGGCAATTCGTTGTGTAAACTGTCACCTCTAACCACACTATTCATTCCTGAGCTTGGTGGTGGTGGAGGTGGTGGAGGTGGAAGACTTTCTCTTGTAAGTGATTGACCTGCAGGTGGGTTACTGGGAGGTGCGGGTGGAGGTTGTGAGGGGCGAGATGTGATTGATGCTGATGATGATCCTGAAAAGAAAAAAAGAGAAGAAAGAGAGAGATTATTATTAATATTACTACTTCTATTATTTAAATTGGTTTTGGATTTTAAGAAGATATTAAAAGAATTGGAATACACTCTACCTTGAGAATTAATTCTTCTTGTTGGTTGACCTTGATTTAATTGACTTTCTGTCATTTGATTAATAGAAATCATTGAATCTCCGGTTCCAGGAGTAGCAAAGTAAGATGGTGGTGGTGTATGACTACCTGTTGATGTTATCTCATTAATTGCTCCTTGATTTCCCGTATGATAAGGATTCTGATTCATAATACTACCAGGAGGATAATAAGCAGGTGGTGGATGATTTGGAATTGCTTGTGGTATAGTCATTGGATCCATATTATGAAAACCATCTATTTGATTAATTCCCAATGATCTTGGCCTTTCAAGGGTTTGTGAATAATGTTGGGGTTGACCATAGTGACCAACACCTTGCATAGAGCCATTGGGCTGTTGGTAGATTTGTTGCTGGTTAAGATTTTGTTGTTGCTGTAATCTAGTTGAATCAATCAACTCAGTTGCTGGAGTTTTGGCTTGTGGAATCTTTGGTGTGATCTTAATTCGAGATCGTCGAAACATAATTGTAAAATCGGATGATTATTTGTTGACTCACAGTTTTTAATTAGGGAATACTAAAGAGAGCTGGAGAAAATTAAAGAACAGAACTCAATTTTTATTTTTAAATTCATTCAGAATTCAAATTCAGTTCCATTTGTGGCTCCACCTGTTGATCGAAATTCTTTCATTCGATTATCGATCATATCGATTCTATCAAAATGGTTTCAGTTTTGAAAAAATTCTGATTGTCATTTGTGATTAATTTATTATTACTTTTTTCTCTCTCAATTAATTAGTTAACTACTGATACCTGTTAGAGTTGTTACCTGTTAGTGTTGTTGTACCAGTAATAACAGTAAATCATCTTGAAAATAATAAACATATAAGAGTGGGAGATGCCACTGGAGCAAAGAGTGATCAAGCCAATTTTAATTAGTCGTTCATCATTACCCTTAGACAGTCAGGGTAATCCGATATCAATACCCAATGAATTGGAATGTGTTACCAATGGAACCCTTGCCAATATTATTCGTCAACTGTCAAGTCTTTCCAAATATGCTGAAGATCTTTTCGCTGGTATCCTTCATGAAGCTACTCTTCTGATAGCCAGATCAACATCACTTCAGGGTAGAATTGACAGACTTGCTGTTAGAGTAACTCAATTGGATTCTTCCGTTGAAGAAGTATCACTTAAAGAAATTCAATTAAGGAAACCATTCAGATCATGTGCCAGCTATGATCAGCAAGTTGTCGCTCGTACCACTATGCCTGAATCAATTAAAGAGATTTACATGTCCTGTGATCGGCCGCCGCCTCTTGAAAAGCTTAACGCCTACCGTGATGATGGTAAAGATGGACTCAAATTTTATACTGATCCTAATTATTTCTTTGAATTATGGAGTAGAGAGATGCTTGAAGCTACAGAAAGAGAGAAAAGTGGTAAAAAGAATGCTCATCGTGGACCCAATAAAGGCCAAGGAGATTTAGGACCTAATGAAAGACGTCGAGGTAAACCAAGGCAACCTCAGAATACCGCAAGAGATATTATGGCCAAAATTCCAGCAACTGAATTCATTGATTCAACTAGATTACAGCAACAACAAAATCTTCACCAACAACAAATCTACCAACAGCCCAATGGCTCTATGCAAGGTGTTGGTCATTATGGTCAACCTCAACATTATTCACAAACCCTTGAAAGACCAAGATCATTGGGTATTAATCAATATCAAATAGATGGTTTTCATAATATGGATCCAATGACTATACCACAAGCAATTCCAAATCATCCACCACCAGCTTATTATCCTCCTGGTAGTATTATGAATCAGAATCCTTATCATACGGGAAATCAAGGAGCAATTAATGAGATAACATCTACAGGTAGTCATACACCACCACCATCTTACTTTGCTACTCCTGGAAGTGGAACCGGAGATTCAATGATTTCTATTAATCAGATGACAGGAGGTCAATTAAATCAAGGTACACCAACAAGAAGAATTAATTCCCAAGGTAGAGTTTATTCCAATTATATTAACATCTTCTTAAAATCCAAAACCAAATTAATCAATAGAAGTAGTAACATTATTAATACAACAATTGTTAACACGATTGTAGTTGTTATTTAGGCTTAGGTTAACGCCTACTCGTCATCACAACATTCTAATTAACAAATGATTAGCGAAACCAAATATCTTTGCTAATTGATGTCAATGGCAACAAAAGCTAATTAGAATCATTCTTGATTACATTGATATTTCTGTTTATACTTTAAATCTCTCTTCCTTCTCTCTCTCTCTCTCTCTCTCTCTCTCTCTCTCTCTCTCTCTCTCTCTCTCTCTCTCTCTCTAATTTCTATTTGACAATCAATACTTGAATTGCTTGAAAGAGTAATGATTGAAATCTTGTGATGAGGTAATTTATTTTCTTGACTTTAGATTCTCAATCTTACTAATCAACTTTTTCCCATTACTTTTCATCATTTTAATCCATAATTTTTTCTCTCCGTTGGATTAAATCATTTAGTTTATTTTTTGTTTATCAAACTCAAATCTCTCTCGCTCACTCTCTCACTCTCTCACTTCCAACCAGTCGTATTTGATATCCTGCTCTCCTTCCGCCTTTTTCCCAGTACATAAACGACTTTAGTTGGAAACTAAATGAGCCTCTAATTTGAAAAAATACACCAAACATATACTTTGCTTTTCTATGGGTATTTTCATATTAAATTGTCTACTTTTCAATCAACTTAAATCAAGTTTCAATTCAGCTCTGGAATCTTTAATGATTTACTTTAAGATAATAATGGTTAAGCTAAACACTGTTACATTGTATCTTAAATACAAATTTGTTATACCAAATTTTAAACTAACATTTTTGTTATGGTTTAAGTTTATCTTTTAATGTAATTAGCATCAATATTTTGCAATTTAACATGATTAGAGATTATCTTTTTTTTCCAACGCACTTTAAACATTTACTGTGTTGATATTTTTTACTAATCGGATATTTTGTTTTTCTTTTCAGGATCATCGTCAGCATCAATCACATCTCGCCCCTCACAACCTCCACCCGCACCTCCCAGTAATCCACCTTCATCGAATAGTTCATCTGGTGGAACATCAGCAGTTGGAACACCATCTCGATCCCGAGGTCAATCACTTACAAGAGAAAGTCTTCCACCTCCACCTCCTCCACCACCACCAAGCTCAGGAATGAATGGTGTGGTTAGAGGTGACAGTTTAGACAGCGAATTGCCACTTCCTCCGCCATCAGGTTGGTTTCGCTGAAATGGCTGAGTTAATAATCCAGTCAAGGATAAATAGTCTCCCTTTTGTTTTTATCTCTTTTTTCTTGCTCTCTCTCTCTCCTCTCTTCATTCTGATTTCAATTCTTAGTATTTGTTATTTAATCAAAGAAACTTAAACAAATATCAGCTCTAAGTCTCGCTCAGTTTACGACTCTTCCCGATTCAGCAAACAGCTTCATTTGTGCTCTCAATTCGCTGGCAAACTTCACACGCAAGATTCTGATTTAGTGTAGGATGATTGACTCATCATCTATAAGGCGATGCCCTTGAAATCTGTCTTTTAATCATAACAATTTAATCAGGTTCAGCAAATGAAGAAGAAAGAGAAAAAAAAGAGTCGTTTTAATTAATTTCATTCTTTGACCTCATTCTATTTACATAAATGATTGTTAATTCAGCTTTTACAATATTGATTATCGATGGGATCCAATTTCTCAAATGATTCGTAACAACAACAACTTTAACAATCGAGACAGTTTATTATTATAATTTATAATCACCCCATCAATCAACAAATTTAGTTGTACAAGTTGTCAAGCATCAATTGACATTTATAATTTTTCATTCATCATTTGAAATGGAATTAATTGTCTCATAATTTAATTTAAATTGTTTTGTTTACTCTTTTTCTCTTCCATTCTAGGAGCCATAATGAGTCCACCAAAAGCTTACATTCCAAGCGATAACTCTTTACCTAATCAATCATCCTCAGTACCACCTCCTCCACCTCCGCCTCCACCCGAAGGACTTTTAGGCAATCCACAGGTAAATTAACTGTTACCACTCAAGATTTTCCCTTTTCTCCCAATGTTTCATGTGTTCTAATTATTTTCCAATTATCTTTAATATATTTCTAGATTAAAAAGGATGGATCTTCTGTAGATAATAGTATGAAAAATGGTTTAGGATCAAGTCTAGCTCAAGAAATACTTCAAAAACAATCTCAAGTAATGCAATCTAAAACAAGCACCATGAAAAAGGTTTTACCACAACATCTACTACAAAAGGCCGATACTCGAAGTGATCTTTTAGCAGCCATTAGGGAAGGTATCATATTGAGAAAAGTGGATGAAAATAAGCAAAAACAAATTGAGAAATCAACTCCTCTTTTAGACGTAGCATCAATTCTGGCTCGTCGAAAAGCAATGGAATATTCAGATTCCGAGTCAGAAGCGGGTAACTCAGATGAAAGTGGTTCCGATAACTGGAATGACGATGAAAGTGAATGTTAATAGTAGTAATTTAATTGCAAAAAAAATTTTCTTCCTAATTCTTACCTTGATTTTTCTTCTCTTTTCTATTCTCTGTTTTTCCTTTTTATTATTATTATTATTATTATTATTTTGATTCTCACCTTTCGAGCTATTTAAAAAATATTCATAAACTGAAAAGAAACAAATTCTAATTGTAATAGAATATATAAATCACCTACAACTGTATTCTATGTTAAAACTGTGGTAAATTTAAGATAATCATTTTTCATCTCTTCCTATCGATTATCTTCCCATCGCTCCATCATCATCATCATCTTCATCATCATCATAATCTTCATGAAAGAAAACTAAAGACAAAAGAGAGATGATAATTATTTTTGTCTTTTAGTTTTTATCTTTTATGATGTTTACCTGATTTTCAATTTCATCGATCACCATCATCGTCACAATTAATTGTATCAATGTCCATGCAGATAACAGTACATGATGAACTTTGAATACTCTGAAACAGTATTGTGGTCAATTGTGTCCACTTTTTATTTTGTTACCTAATTTTTAAAACAAAAACATAATCAACACCAATCAGCTGGATGAATTAACCAAGAAGTAAACAAAAGATCATCTCTCAATGGTTGCAACAATTAACAATTGAAAGGCTTCACCAACTGATATACAGGATTAGCAATGGAAAATGGTTCCTCTAATTGTAAACAAAAGCTTTAAATTGCGAAAGGAAAATTGGATTGTGTGTAAATTGCGATCACTAATCAGTCAAAATTAATCAACAAATCTCCCTCAATATACATTAACACTTATCGACAAATTGTTACAATATATCAACCGATGTTTGGATTCATTTTGCAATTTCCATTCAATCCAATTATTGATAAACCAACTATTAATATTTATGATCTGCAGTAGGAATTAACTGTTGATGATTAATTTCTCTCAGCCAAATCAACCGATTAACTATTGATTGTTTTTCCTTTGTAACTTTTTCCTTCTTCCTTATGATTTTTCTCCTCTTTCTCTCTCTCTCTCTCTACATATTTTATTTTCTCTTTTAAAGGAGCCAATTAATCATCAATTTCATCACCATCATCATCATCATCATCATCTCACCTTTTCTCATCCAAAAATGTTGCCATCATGATTTAATTATATTATTAATATTAACGATAATTCATCTGATCCTTACAAGTAGCGAAAAATGATTTTCCTTAAGTTTCCACTTTTTACCTTATTTTTTTTTTCTTTCTCGATGTAATAAGAATCAATTTTCTCGTGAAAATAATTGAAATTGTTTTAAATTAATTAACTTAATTACGACAATTAATTACGAATTCAAATGATTACTTTTGTTCTTTTCAAAATTGGCGCGAAAAAGGAACATCTGATTGGTGAATATGAAAGAGCATCAAAGATAATTAGGTAAAGTGGTAAGCTCGATATTTTCAATTTTCAGCTGATTTTTTTTTCGGCTTAAGGTTCGTTTTGATCGAATATTGTCGAAATATTGTCACTGGTACTTTCTTGGATCCGATTTGCTTTTAAACAAGAGGCGTCGTCGCAGCACCGCAGTTAAACGTTGGTTGTTACAAAAGTTACCAAGTAAACTTTCAAGTGTATAAACAACAAGACTGAAATCTAATTTAAAATATTTATTATATGCTGATTAAGTAAACTCTCAATTTGGCTTCCTAATCAAAACGATAATAAACAAAAAAAGACACTTCTAAATTGATGTAGTTTTAAGTTGATTACTACAACAAGATTGAATCGACTATTGGTTAATTATATTAGATTATATTTGGATCCGATTTGCTTTTAAACAAGAGGCGTCGTTGAGCACCGCAGTTAAACGTTGGTTGTTACAAAAGTTACCAAGTAAACTTTCAAGTGTATAAACAACAAGACTGAAATCTAATTTAAAATATTTATTATATGCTGATTAAGTAAACTCTCAATTTGGCTTCCTAATCAAAACGATAATAAACAAAAAAAGACACTTCTAAATTGATGTAGTTTTAAGTTGATTACTACAACAACAAGATTGAATCGACTATTGGTTAATTATATTAGATTATATTTAACGGATCTGCATCTGATTTAGCGACGATTATTTCAACATTACCATTGTTTAGTTTAGAGATTATTTTTTCTCTTAATACTTGTAAATAACCACGTTCAGTGTTGGTGTGTTCACAAAGTATCACCGAGGAGCCATTTGCATAAAGAGCATCTAGAACTTCATGATGAGACATTTCTCCAGTAATTAGTAAATCAACTGGTAATCCACGTAAAACTGATCCACCAGAACCAGCACAAACTCCGATACTATTGACTGTTGACTCTGTAAATTTGAGTTAACAACAAAAAGGAAACATGAATTAGTTGATAAATTACAATTTAGAGTTAATTAGGTTTACCTAATTTATGTTTAGGTGATAGAGCAAGTCTAACATGTTCCAATTTCAGTAGTTGTTTGGTTCTGTTAATTATCTCCTGAATGGTTAATTCTTGGGTTAAATTGGCTATTCTTCCAACACCGAAACCAGGTAATGGAGGCTGAAAAGAGAAACAATCAATCAGTTAATTATGAAGTATAATTAGTGGAGAAAAAATAAATTCTTACAATGTCAAGTTTAGAAAGGTGAATAGAAGCTTTTGTTGAGACATTTTCTGATAAAATGTTTATGATTAAAGGTAAATTTTTATCTTCGGTATAAATAACAGCGGATGAAGGAAGCCTGTGAAATCAAGTGAGAATTGATTAGTAAATTGATTAATCAAATTTACGGTTGAATTGGTTTACTTTAACACTTTTCCTAATTTTTCGATTCTTTCGAGAAGCTTATTGTCATTCTCATTGGCGACCACAGTTTCTAAACGATAAGAGTAGTGATTCGTTGATCGGGTGTCCATTGAACTTTGGTTGATTGGCCTCACTTCTTTGATGTTAAACGGCGATAAAAGCCAATCATTGATTCCGTCCTTTATGGCATCTAATGCAGTGTGTGGTGAATAAACGGCGATTCCACATTGAATACAATCCAATAATAATCTTTCTTTCCAAGTTCTGTGGTTAATTGACTTGATTGGTTGAAAGATGGGTGGATGATAGGCAATAATTAACTCGGTTCCATAGGTTTTAGCTTCTTCGATAACCTTTTCCGTTAAATCTATGGTGAGAACAATTTTACCAATAGATATTGTCGTAAATGGTTCAACAAGTAGTCCAACATTGTCCCAACTTTCCGCTAAGTGTAAAGGTGCAATTTCATTGAGAACACGAATTACTCCTTCTAGGCTTGGGTAATTAACGTCCATTTTACTGGTAAATCGTTGATGCCGAGATCCTAGTTGACTTGAATAATTACCCTAAAACCAAGAAACAAGTCAATTCTATTAGAAATTGTAACTAATTTTGAGTTTACATTCAATTGCTTACAAATAAATTTGATTTGGTGTGAGTTGAGTACAAGTTGTTTGCAAAAATCTTCTGTGAACCGATGTGATTTTTTTTCACCAATGATGCCTGTAAATAGTGATTAAGACAGTTATAAATGAGACAAATGATCAGTAATAGAAATTAAATATGTACTAACAGATTCAATTGAAGATTTATGAAACTTAAATTGTCCAAGTAGATTAGTCCAAGTTGAGGATCGTAAAGAAATCAAAATATTATGTTTAGAAAACATAAAATCATCCAACCGGAAGGGAAACTATTAGATAAGAAAAGATTGTTATAAGATAATTAGACTAAGTAACAGTTAATCTAAACAATGATCCATAAATTAACCAGACAAAATTAAATGTTCACACTTACATGTAATCAAACAATCAGTAAATTGATCTAATTTCATAAGAGTAAAAAATAAACAAACTAATCAATAACCAACTCTAATTACCCGATACGATTAAACATAAGAAAAAGATAAACGATCGATTGAAGAAACTAATAAAGACTATCAACAATTAAACAAAATTCCCTTAATCAACAATTAAAATGAATTAATGAAAAAAAACACAAAGGAAACACAAACGTTTGAAAATCAATTTTGATTTTTGATTAAATTTGAAAGAAAAAATTAAATGAATTTGATGTTCGATTTTTAATCTCAAGATGTCGCTGGAAACAAAAGAAGCGCGAAAATCAATAAACCCGAATAATTAATTTTCTCTAATTATTAATTTGATTTGAATTCGATTACTTATCAATCCTCATTAAATCAACAATTAATTAAATATTGTGTGTATTGTATCATATCAGATTGTTTAATTTTCTTCAATAATCATTATAATTATGATGAAAGATGAACATGATTAATGATGAAAATTGAAAAACAATTAACACCAAAGTTTAATTGTAATTAAAACGGATATCATATTAATTAATCTGATTAGGTTGAGTAAATTAAAATAAATGAAATTAACTTGAAAATAATGATAATCATACAAAAGTTAATCTACACGGTTGGAAATTGTCAGGAAAAAGTTAAATCATCAACCCAAGGTTGAGTTTTAATTGTTGCGTCGATTAACAATTACAAGGTTAACAATTTGTAACAATACAACAATTAAGAATTAATCTAAATACTGAATTTAAATAGAAACAAAAAACATACGAAAATAGGAAATTTAAAGATTAAGAAAATTAATTTAATTCCATTGGTAATTTAATTTAATTTTCCTTGAATTTCAATCAGTGACTAAACAAGGAAATGTAATCATAACCCTTTTAAATGATGAATAAACTCATTCCAACAATTAATTTACTCATCTGCTGTTAATTGACACTCACAATTAATATTAAATCAACAATTAAACGATTAGTAAATCAAATGAACGAGAAAAACAAAATTAAATTTCCAAAAGTTTGAATAACAATTTCAATTGATTTCCAATCGGTAAGTGAATTAAATTAATTGATTTTCTTAATTATCTGACCGATAACTTGATTACCCTTTGATTCTCATCTTAATTAACTTGTTCACCAAATCGCCTATCACCCTGACAATTAAATTCTAACCATTAATTGTCAATCAAATTCTTTTCCTTGTTTTTCTCTTTCTTTTTTTCTCCTCTTTCTTTTCTTCTCTTTCTTCATTTCTCTTTCTCTTCTCAAAACAACAACAACAACTTCTTGATTCTTGGAAATCAAATGTTTCTCTCTCTCTCTCTTCCTTTATTTCTCCCCTTGTTGTCCACAATTATCACAATTAACTAATCCTTTTTAACTGATACATTCTCTCATCTTGACCTTTCCAAGTTCAACAATTTAGAATCTAAATTTCATGTGATTAACTAATTTTCCAGCGCAAACAACACAACCAAAAGTGAAAAGCCTCTTAAGCTTATTTTTTATTTTCCATTCTCACAATTAGATCGCCATAAATCATGTTTGTCTCAAGCATTTTCTTAATTCTTTCAATTGCTCAGTGTAAGTATCAGTTTACTATTCTAATTACATTTCAATAATCCACCAAGTTCTCATTAAATTGAGCCTTATGTTTAATGTTTTTCTTTGTTTATGTAAACCGTATCAATGGTTTTCCCTTTTTCCTTTCAATTAATGGTCATTGTTTTTGATTTTTTTTCTTTTTTATTCTCATTTAGGCTTCCTAATCTGTCTTGGTGAGCACATTATCTATACACCTCGATACTCTGATTTCGGTAGTTGGGGTGATTGGGAATATTGTCCTGCTGGTCAGTTTGTCAATGCTTTCCAATTACAGGTTGAATCACCGAGAGGTGAATTTGGTGATGATACTGGATTAAATTCAATTCGATTCTTCTGTGGAGAAATTGGTGAAACCTTTGATAGAAATCACTTTATCACCTCTCGTCAAGGTTATTGGGGAACATGGGGTCAAGTATATTCTTGTGTTGATAATTCAACAGCAATTGGAATTCAATTGAGAGTTGAGAAAAGCCAAGGAATCCTAGATGATACTGCTGCTAATAACCTTCGGATGATTTGTTCTGATCGATTGGTTCATGAAGGTGATGGTACCATTTGGGGTAAATGGTTAACTAAATCGTTGTGCCCCAGGCGAACAGCAATTTGTGGCTTAAGAACATTAGTTGAGAGCTGGCAAAGAAAAGATGTTCTCGATAATGGTGAGTAGCATATTCTCCAGTTCTGATCAATTGTTCACTGGAAATTACCATCATTTAATACAACAACATTTTCTATTCTCTTTTTCAGATGATACCGCTTTGAATAATGTCGATATTGTTTGTTGCGATGTTCCTAGTCCTGCGAAAAGTTGTACACCTAAAGAGCGATGGGAGTTCGTTGCTCATTGTGATAATACCGCTGGAACTGAGGTAATTAACATGATAGGAAAATCACAAGAAAAAATCAAATCGATTGTCTTAAAGGTCAATTGATTGTTATATTAACCATAGAGTAAGAAAAATTGATCAACACTTAGCTTTATTATATTTCTGGAAATTTATCTTATTGGCTTGTTGACAATTTGATACTCAAGTGTCTGATTTAATTGTTTCTTCAACTCAATATTTACTAATTGTGTTGAACAACTTACAATGAGTAATCAATATGTAAGATGTACAAAACAATTAGCAAATTATCAAAGAAACTTGTTGATTTATCTTGTTTACATTTGATCTCGTTCATTGAATGAATTGATTTCATTCTGGATTGACTTTTCGATTTGTCTTAATTGTTAATATTAATTTGATTTTTTCTCTCTCTTCGTTCTCAGACCAAAGAATGTGATTTTGAAAGTAAAGACGACACACCGAACTATTGGACTGATGTTACCCGTTTATCCAAAACTTACAAAGATCTCGGGATGAGATTAGAAGACGATTATGTTGATCTGGTAAAAACTTTCCACCAAAAGTTGGGTAAAAGTAAACGAACTGGTTTCGATTGGAAAGCATTTGGAGGATCGTTGATGAGCAAAAGAATCACCTTCGTTTGAAAACTGGACCAGGAGAGAAACAATATCTTTATCGACTTCTTGCCAAGTGCGGAATTTATCATATTAATTCTGAATTTTTCAAGATCTTCGACGAAGAACTGGACATCAATTTAACAAGTTTCGATTATTAATTGATACAAGAAAAAGAAGCAAAGTTAATCATTCTTTTATTGGAATACTATTAACAAAACTCTCATCATGTTGATCATTTTTCGCTGTAAATCCATATGATTAACATTCCTCTTCCTTTTGCAACAATCAACTTCCTTCTCATCTTAATCATCTCAAAACAATCGATCATCATTCCAACCTGAAATTTTCGCTTAAATTGTATTAATTTCATGCAACATCAAAATGCCAGCATTTGAAACTGTAAACTCCTCGTTTAAATTGCTATTTATGAAACATTTATTATTGTATCAACATCTCATGAAAAAATTAATCAATTGAACAATCAATTCAATTGGCTAGAGAGCTAGATCCATGACTATTTGGAAAAATTGAATAAAACAAAAATTTAATATTCTTAGCCAATTGTCGATTAGAAACTATATAAACTATTGCAAATTTCTGAACTTGGTACTTTGAAAAGACAAACAATCAACTGGATTCTTTTCAATAATCCGCCAAATTCAGTCAATAAAGGAGAAGCTGAACGGTTAGCGGACATTTCGTTAGTTCGCGTTTCGAACAGTATTGGGGGAAAATAAGAAAAGCCTATTTTCAACTTGTTACCAATAATCTGAAATTCTTATTAAATATTAAATGTAGAAATTGAAACTAACTACTAAAAAGTTCGAGTTAGAACTTTGCAATCACACTCACAGTGTCAATTGGAAGATTGATCGAAGATAAAAAACGATAGCTGAACTTGATACTTCGAATAGATATACATGAGCGGAATTGGAGCGAATCTGAAACAGTAGGAACAGAATTAGGAAATTAGAAATGCGAGCAATACGATTGATCTCAAGTGACTGAAAATTACCAATGGTTTCAGTGTCAACACCTTTGTTGGATTTGACGTAATCCAAAGCGTAGTCCATTAAACCACCATCACAACCTTGATTTCCTTGTTTTCATGAACAATCAACCAAATTTTGCTCAGAAAGTGAGACTAATTTACCGGTTTTTTGTGCATTAGCTGCAAGAAGAATGTCCAGTTTGAACCACATTGACCTTGATCTCTGAACTCTGTGACGATTGATTTTCGCCAATCAATGGATTCAGGAACAGATTGGGTAAAATTGATGTTGTGAGTCAGGGGAGCGGGCTTTCGGTGGATTGATTTGTAACCAAGTCGAGTAACTTTGAATTCCTCTGCGGTCTAAACAGTGGAAGCGAAAATCCCGTTTAGTATAAACTATCAAGTAGATGATTAATTGAATACTTAACAAATCAGCAAACTTGTTGATTTCCAATTGGTAAGTGTGAACTCCATTGTCAGCTTCTCGGTTATGGGCATTAATTTTTTCCAGATTAGTACTGAAAATCGATTTTAATGTTTGAAGTTATCAATTATTCAATCACTTACTCGATTGTTACATTTTAATATCAAGGTCATTATGGTCATTTAATGTTTCAAGGTCATCTGATGACCAAACTCGACGACTGGGACTATTTGTCATCTATTTATATGTTTCAATACAAAGATATAAAACTTCTCGTTCTCCCATAGGGTTTTTGCAAAAATACAACTTTGGTGAACTGTTACTTTCGAACCAAACGTTTTCGTGGACTAAGAAAAGAATGAATGTGACTAGTATGTGGATATATAGCTATACTTTGAAAATTTTTCTGATCTTTGATATGATTTTTAAGATCTGAGGTCGGGGTGTTCTAGAATCTAGTCGAGTTAGTAACTTTACATTAATGTTTTGAAATATGTCTCTTTAAGAAAATACCTTCAAATGACCTTGAGATATGTTATTTCATCAATGACCAAAATGACCTTGAATTTTAACTATGACAATTTAGTATCACCTTGACAATCTATAAGGCCCAGGGCTGCAAAAAGGGCCTTTAGTCATCGATCTCTTTGGGCAAATGTGAATTCGAGTTTTGGTTTAAAATCTGCACAACAGGTGGAGACACTTGACGAAGCTTCGATCATGTGATTTTTTTTCTCATTTCTTTAAATTGTTTATTTATTTTCCTTGAAATTTTATATTCTTTTTTTGTATTAGTTTTTTTCTTTTCGTTTCCATTTTAATTTGATTGATTTGTTCCCTTCCAAGATGATTACCAACGATGATTGTACCAACTGTAAAAGAGCTGCAATCAAATTAGGTTATTGGCAAGATCCTTATATTGATCTTTTCTCCAGAGGGACTCCTCATATTGAACGAAAAACTCCTGAAATTAATCGAGGTTATTTTGCTCGTGTTGCCGCAATTAAGATAATTATTGAGAAATTTCTTGCCTCCGTTAAAGGTCAAGGTAAACAGTGTCAAATTGTTAACCTAGGATGTGGATTTGATACACTTTATTGGAGATTAATGGACAACAATGATGGCGGTGATACCGATAGAAATGTTGATTCATCTTTAATTAAACACTTTGTTGATGTTGATTTATATGGTATCACATCAAGGAAAATATTTCACATTCGACATCGTCCAAAATTATTATCTTCCCTTGGTGATGATATTCAATTTAATCCAATGGAATTGCAATCAAATGTTTACAAATTGATACCAGTTGACCTACGTGATACAAATAGTTTATCAACCAAATTGTTGACCGAATGTCATCTTGATAAAGAATTGCCAACTCTATTTATCGCCGAGTGTGTACTCATCTACATGACGGTTGAACATTCAAACAATTTAATCGCCTGGATATCAGCTAATTTCACTCAACCCGCTTTCATTAACTATGAACAGATCAACATATTTGACCGATTTGGTCAAATTATGGTTGATAATTTAAGGCAAAGAGATGTCGAACTGCTTGATTTGGATTCGTGTAAAGATTTGGAAAGTCAAAAGTCCCGTTTCATTTGCAATGGTTGGGACAATGTCGAAGCCTGGGACATGATGTCATCTTGATAAAGAATTGCCAACCTATTTATCGCCGAGTGTGTACTCATCTACATGACGGTTGAACATTCAAACAATTTAATCGCCTGGATATCAGCTAATTTCACTCAACCCGCTTTCATTAACTATGAACAGATCAACATATTTGACCGATTTGGTCAAATTATGGTTGATAATTTAAGGCAAAGAGATGTCGAACTGCTTGATTTGGATTCGTGTAAAGATTTGGAAAGTCAAAAGTCCCGTTTCATTTGCAATGGTTGGGACAATGTCGAAGCCTGGGACATGTACCATGTTTATCGATTCGGAATTCCACCTAACGAATTGCATCGTATTGAGAACATTGAATTTCTCGATGAAGCCAATTTATTGGAACAACTATTAACTCATTATTGTCTTGTTGTGGCGAAAAAAAATCTCCCAAATTTTAAGGTTGAATTCTGATCAATTTGTAAGTTTATTTTTCCACTTTAATTGTCTCATTGATTAACATCTAATTTGTTGTTTCTTCTTATATATTTACAGTTATGATTCTGGACTCATGTGATTTAATTGTCATAACAAGAGATTGAATTTTACTCACTGGATTAATTTTCTCGTATTCAATTTCTAGTCATTTGATGAACGGAATTTAATTGCAAATTTAATGCCAAATATTAATGAATATTATTAATTTTCGTTTCAATTTTATCCATTGGACACTAATCAAACTTATCTAACTGTAAATTGTTCATGGTGAGTGAATGAATTTCCACTGATTTGATTGTTCAATTGAAAACAAAAAGTTTAATTTCTTATTCAATTTTACCAGATGATCGAGTACAATTAAGAATATGATTGGTTTCGTTTTCCTATCGATATTGTGTGAACCATTTTCCTGATTCAAGAATTGGAATTTGAATGTTGATTAAAAAATAATTTCGTCCGAATTTCGTTTTCAGTCCATTACAATCAATGAGAATATTTTTAATTACAATGAGAATCAATGTTTCTATTGTAATAATATCTCCCGATACAACAATTAACCCATAAATTGTCTTGTCTTTCTAAATTTTAATAAGTGTTCATCTAATAATTGATTCAATTTAAATATTTAATCAAATCTCATTTTCTTATTGTTGTCAATATAAAACAAGTATTACCATTAAATTGATTGTAATAATATAAATGAATTGAATTAAAGAAACAAACCAAAATCAATTGATCGTAAATGATTCATTTAATTTTCAATTTACTATTGAGAGATCGATATATCAAAAAGTTAGTCATGTACTATGAAAAAATAGAGGACACAATTTGAGAGCAATTAACAAATTGTGAAGGAAAAAAAATCTATTGTATATATAAAGACAATAAAGAAATTGTTGAACAATTAATTTCTCTTGAATTGAGATCGAGCTTAACAAAAATTGTCAATTAATGGCATCGATTTAAGCAGATATATTAAGTGGCCTATTGTCGAAGGGACGAAATAATTTGTACCTTAATTAAGTAACTAATCCAATTGAATTAAAGACAATCAAGTTGATTAAGAATCACAGAGTTGCCAAATTGAACCTTGTTGAGTAAGTAACCAAATATCACCATTTAGCGAAGCTATTAAAAAGATAAAAGAAATTAATTAACCACTCAGATAAATTATCTAATTGTGTTACAGTGATTAAGAGAGAGAATTAAGTTAATTACCTGAGATATCCTTTAGTGAATCTTTAATCAAGGTGGGAGATCTAATTTCTTGCCAATCAGTACCAACGTAACTGGACGGAGGTTGAATACCGATCCGTTTGAAGATACGATTACTTTGACTACTAAGAATCCAAACACTATTATTAGCGACAGTGATTGAGGTCACTTCAACCGGGGTGTGTACGGGTAACCAGGCCATTCCACCGATATGTTCATCGGCATCTCCTCGAGTGTTAAATATACCCGCTCTCACGAACAGTTGATTTCTATTATCGATGCACCAAACCATTGATGAATCTGTTGGACAAATTTGAACATTATCAACATGGAAACGATTATCAGAATCGTGGTGAATTTTACTCCAAGATCCCGTTAGCAGTTTGTTTAACCAGACATCGCCGTTAGTGTCGCAAAACCAACCAAGTTGATCTGATGAACAGAGGGAAAAATTGTGAAAGTTGATCGTTGATTTTGGTTTACTAATTTTCGTCCATCTTGTAGCTAAAGTGCTTAAAATTGGAGCTATTGCTAATCCTGGTTCGTCAACACCCTCACGGAACCAAAGTTCATTATCTTCGTTGAGTAGATAAATTTTATTCCTATTAGCACCAACGGTGAAGCTTTTATTGTTACCCGGTGGAAGACGAAGCGATTCAAAGTAGGGATAATAAACGAGCTTAGGTCGACCCTTTGAAATACAAGATAACCAAACGTAGGCCGAAGTTTCCACATCGGAATAACCGGAGGCACAGAAACGATTGATCTCAAATTGGTCTGAATTATGAGTACTTTCAATTGCCCTTTGCCAGTCGACATGTTTAATTGGTCGGACTTCACGAATTGGAAGACAATTTACTTCGATAATATTTGATTGCGAATCCGTTTCATCTGATCTCTCAGTTGATTCCTGAACAGAATTTGTTTCATCCGGTGAAAAATTATCGATCAACATTTTCGGACCAGAATCGATACAGTCCAATAAGTGTCGACTTTCAAGATGATCGTTTTTGTCCAAAAATCCAATATTATTGAATATTATGTCACCTTCGCGAATCATATCAGTCTTGATTTCGGATGCATAAGAAGATCCACTTGATTGATTAAACTTTTTGGTCAATTCTAGGCCATCAAGAGTAAATACTTCGGAGGCCAAACTTTTCCTTGTTGATTGTTGATTTGGTTCAATTGTCTCATCATCGTCAGAATTGTTTACTTTCATTGGACTAGTTAAAGGTTCATCTTGGGGAGAATCACAATTGTCGAAACAACATTCGTTCGTAACTTGATTATCATCTTTCGTCGATTGTGAGTCTGCGATTACCTCCTTCGAAATTGATGATGATCGAACATGAGAATCTCTTGAGAATAGAATATTTTCCTCGCTTCAGAATCAACTTTGAATCGAGAGTTGACTGAACTTTTTCTCGATAATTTCTCATGGATATAAAGAGGACTCGTTGATTTGAACAAACTTTCATCTTCGTTTTTACCTTCAGCCTCTTGATCATTTTCAGATGATTCCAATGAACTTGTTTTACCAGAAAGTTCATCTCTCTCCGAATTTTCATTTTCCACTGAACTATTTCGACGAAGAACATTCAGCTGATCGAAGGTCGTATAGTTCAACAGTTTCTCTGTACCTTCGTAAATCTTATCGGACATTAGCGAGTAAATCTTTTTAATTTCCCCTTCAAGTGAATTAAGAGCTTGAGTTGGAAGATTAGTTAAATTCTGAATACCAAGTGTACCTTTCAGAACTTCACCTAAACCATAATCAGTGGCCTTTGATTTGACGAACTCTTTTTTGATCAGAAAACGGATTCGAAACAAAGTCCAATCTTCACGTAAAATAATAACATCCCGATAACCTGGAGTTCGGGAAACATTGGCATCGATTATCTTGACCGATGAATATTCCTTGACCAGCAAAGTGCCGTCCATTTTGATGATCAACAATGAATGTGAATTCCATGAGCAAATGTAATCCTCATCGTTAATCTGTATCGGCATCAGATGACCAAAGTTGAATAAATTGTTACAATTTAAGGATAAAGTTGATGGAGCGGGTGATAAGTTTGGTGTTGTCGTTGTTGATGAAGGTGTTGTTTGGTTTGTTGTCGTTGTTGTTGTGGTCATTGTTGATCTGTAGGGTAAATGATTTTCCTCTGGAGTGACCGGTTCCTTAAAGAGATTCAATGTTTTCAATGGGACAACATTTTTCAGTTTAAATGTTTGAACGACACTTCCATCGGTTGTATTGGCCTTAATCAGGTGCATTGATGGACGAGAGGCGATCACGGTGTTACCCTCTCGATGGAAAACTGCCCCATACTGACCACAAACTTTTCTAACATTTCGACCAATCTGAATGATTGACCAAGAATCGGATAAACTTTTCCAAAGGATAAGTGATCGGAAACAACTAGAGACCAAAAGTAGATCAGGACTGTAAACATCAATTTGTACGATTGTATGGTCATGGTCATCTTCCTGTTTATCTTCACTGAATATGGTCATTGTTTCATCTTCGATAACATTGTGACATCTAATTGTACCAATAGAATCACCGGTGAAAACATGATATCGATGTCGAGTATTATCATAGATACACTTAGAAGTGACCATTGAAGGAAGAGGATTTGATTCATCACTGGATCTATTTGAAGGAGAGAAATTTGGAAACAATTAGCTAATCAGAACAAAGCAAATAGTGAGACAATTTTACCTTGGAATTGACCAGGAATAGATTATCTCATTTCGGACAAAATTGAACATGATGAATCCATGAGGTAGTAAAAGTGAGACAACGTTTTCATCGGGCAAGTCGATGCCGATGATTTGACATTTAACTGGGTGACGTTCAAAAAGCGGACCTTTGGCCTGTTTTTCCCCACGAGGGAAACAATAAATCCACCCGGTATTTGTACCAAAGTAGAGGAAATTATCATCACAATTAAAACAGGAAACATTGGTCACTCTTGGACTCTCATCATGTCCACCATCATGTTGATAACCATTGGTCAGATTACAACAAGTTTCTCCTTCATCATTATCCTGGTCACTTTTGGTATTATTTATCCTGAAATCAACAACACCCTGACAACAACCAGCATCATCTTCATCATCATGATCATCAGAATCATGATTAATCCAAATTCTCAGGAAATCAAACCATTCACAGATAAATTCACAAGAAACATTATTATCCTTTGAGTTCATAATCAACAAAAAAAACTTTCAACAAAGAAAAGATGAAAACAAAAATGATGCAATTGGAAAGAGATTGGATGAGTAAAGGAACCGAGTTAAACTCACACAAGTAACAATTTAATCAACAATTAATCTTCCAATTGAGGATCAACATTTAAATTGTGACACAAGGAAAATTAAAATCACAACAAAGCAACAAAAAGTTGAGCTTTAAATGTGAAAACAACTAAACAACAACAAGACCAACAACAGAGGATGAATGATTGGTTATTGTTTTTCTTAAGCACAATTGATCAGATTAACAGATTAACAGACACAATGAGCAAACACACACACAAAGTAAAGTGCAAACATGTTACTGTTACTGAGATTAAATTGATTATCCTAATTGTTGATAAAAATTTTCCATTGATTATCTTTTGATTTAGTTGATTTTCGGTTTGTTTTTTGGTTGGAAATTTAATTTACATTCTTAATCAAAGATTAATATTTGTTTCGTTGCAATTTGGATTACAATTAGTACAATTTACGAGCAAATGTCCTTCTTGTCTTGATCGGGATTCTGGTTTAGTAAATCTTGATCACCTTGTGGATTTAATTGCTTCATTAATTGATTGAAGGTTAACTTGTTATACAATTGGAATAATTATCATCATGATTACGTTATTTTCTGCATCATTAGAATGATTTACCTTCTGTTAGTTAATTACAATTACAAATGGACATTGATGGTTAACTAGTGGAAAAGTTCATTGGACTTTTTTTTGTTTTCATTGAAGAAATTTATTCATTTTAATTTGATCAATTTGTTAATTGTTAATTTACACAGAATCAGAGAGGTTGAACAATTATCTTTTATGATTTTGGCAAAAAAATGATGATTAGTTGGATCACGATGATTATTTAAATTGTTACTTGGAACAAGAAAAATTAACACCAATTGTTAGCTTGGAAATTACATTTTCATCAGTAATTAAATCAACAATTTAAAATTGGCCAATTTGAATAACAGTTGATAATTATGATGAACAATTTAAATGTAATACTAATTGGTAATGATGGTGATGATGAGTTTGTCCAGTATCATTTGCAAAATATTTAATACCCATGGATGAATATTAATTGTCTTTGATAACAATTAACAAGTTTAGTTTGATTGTTGAAATCATAATGATGAAAATAAGAGTTGATTACAAAAGGATTTCATTTACAAATTGGAATTGGAATTGGAGATTGAAAGAAAGAGAGAGAGAGACTGAAGATCTTGGATGATGATGGTGATAATTGTGATGTGACGATTGAAACGATAAGATTAATTAGTTAATTATCTTTAAGCTCGAGGTTTTCCGAAAGAGGAAGATTTCTCATCGGCCATGAAGAACCTTTTAACGGCAAATACTTGGACTACCGATGAAATAACGATAATCAAACACTGAGCGATCGACCAATTCTGAATGTATCTATTGTTACCATCGACAAGGTACCAATCGTGGGACTGATGACGACGAGATTGGTCCAAATTTTTCAACATGGTTCCAATGTTTTTATCAACATTTGATAGCGAAGCCTAAGAGAATCAAAAAATAAACCAATCGATAAGTTGAAATGTTCAAATCGACAATTGGACAGAAAAAAATTCATTACCGTAAAGTTGGTAACGGTCACATCATTTGCTGTCAGTTCGGAAATGTATTTGTCCCATTCGTCTCTCTTGTAAGAGGCCACATAGAGACTGACCAATTTAGATGCGAATCGTGAAAGTGAATTGTCAATACAGAATTGATAATAACCTGTAAGAAAAAAGTAATTAATTAATCATCTTTTTCTTTGAGTGGAAAGAGTTAAAGGTTAATGAAACTTTGGTTAACCATAATCAAGGAATTAATGTGAATCAACTGATTGTTCGGTAACAATTTAACACCAATAACCATTCTACCACAAAGCAAAATTCAATCGTAGAAATCAATCAGAAATGATAACTACAATTAAATCAATAATCGAATCTGAAAAAATTCAATTTGAAATTTTTGCGCTCAAATGTTTGACTTTTCCTCAAGATGAAGCCGGTATTGTTTACCTTAAATACTACCATTAAAATCATCTAAATGAGACAATCAGACAAGGAATTAATAGCTGATTGAATATAATCAATTCTAATCAAGATGGATGATAACTAATTGTCAAAATAGAATAGAAAAGATAATGAAAAATTAATATTTTCTCTTCAATTTTGACTATTGTCTTTGTCTCTTCCTATTGATGGATTGACAACAACACTGATGATTAACCCTTTAGATTATTGATTCAGTGATTTTCTTGATGATTAAACTGATTGTTTACCTCCATTTTGTACGGATGATTCCTCGTGTTCAGCATTTTCGGACCATTTATATGGTAAAATTGTCTGTCCAGTAGGTTCTCTTATTAAGAATCCAGCTTTACTATCACCACCTCTCATAACCTGTTAACATATGGAAGAAAATGTGACAAAAAGACAAAAGACAATGAGAAGAAAACAATTAATCAACAATCGACAGGTAAAACCAACAGAGAAACGAATAATAAATTAAATAGAAAGAAAAGAAAATTAAAGAAAACAATTAAAAAAAGGTTACCTGAAATGCCACGTAGAGAGTTGAATGGGATTGAACCAGTTGGTAAAAACACTCTTCTCTACCTGCATCAATGTGGATCTTGAATTCGTAAGCAAATCCTAATTTCTCTGGACTTGGATAAGTTTCACAACCAATTAAACCGAATGTCCAGTTAATCAAAAGAGTAATTAAGGTTAAATTAATAAAATCATTCGCCATTATCACAAAGAAAAAGAAAAACAAACGAAACAAAAAAGAGAAACAAAAAGTAAACAGATGAACCGAAAGACTCTCAGTTTGTATTCATTTTCAATTCTAAACTGCAACTGGTTGAAATTGAGAAAAACAAGCAACATCCAATGTGCGAGTTTATCTTCCAACATCATCCTTCATCTCTCTCATTTTCCTCTAATTATCATCATCATCTCCATCTTGTTCTCTCTTTACAAAGTTCCATTAATTACCAGAGTAATTAACTAACAACAATAATCATCAATGTAATTAGTCTGATTGCGAGTTCGATATGAAAAGAAACTTTTTTTTTCTCATCAACTTTTTAGATTAATAAGTGAGTCGATTGATTGGGAGAGAAGAAGTTTTTTTTTTGTTGTATTATCACAATTAACTTGTGAAAATTAAAATTCCCGTTTTAATTGATTGTTGGTAAACGTGGAAAATTGATCAAGTATATAAATAGAGATATAAATTATATACAGAGATGGGGATAGATTTTGATGGTCGCTCTTTAATCCGATGGATTAAGAGGTTAATCTTGCTTGATGTGTTTTCTTTTACTTAGATAGAGCTTAATTATCTGCCAAATTGATAGAGTCAAGGGAACGGACATTGGCAGGAAAAGAGGGAAATAAACAGCGTACTTTTGATCTTCCGGGAAATATAACCTCGAAAGTAGCGATGGATCAAAGAAAGCACTTTCTGAGGCGTCGAAGGCTTTACTACTTAATTCGTAGGCTTTCATTAGATTCCCTTGGGCTAAAAGGTCAATCGATTTATGAGAAAGATCAGCAGCTTGATTCATTTTATCGGCGATCTCCTTGAGAATGACAATATTTTTCACCTTAATCAATAGTTTATCAAGTGATTCGAGTGATGAAAGTGTCTTCGCTAATTGTTGTAATGTCATTTGTCTCATAAGATAATCTAATTCCCATTTGGTGAAGAAAATGTTTCGAGTTATTGAATTGATTGGTTGGATTGATGAAAGTCCGATTAAATTTCTAGCAAATGATTTAAAGGCCAGATTAAAGTCGTTCTCCTTGTTCCAGAAAAATATACCCGCTCGGTGAGAGGTTGAAACGGCAAATGATTTTCCTTTGGTACTTTTATCGTAAAAATAAACTGATTGATTCCTAGATGATGATGAAGGTATAATTACATGGAGATGATAACTTGTTTTCGTATTTGGTTCAACTATCCTTGATTCAATTGAATTAAGTAACAGGCCAACATGGGATTGGTCAAATAAACGCTCCTTCCTATTTGGATCATCAGAATTGATCAAATTTTTCTCGATAAATTGTGAATCAAAACAATGATAAACCATTTGACTGATGAAATTGATCCAGATTAAATTTGATATTCCACTTTGCTGGATAAACGCTTCCTCGCCGAGTTTCCGAGCGGTTGAGATCATTTGTTTCGTCTTGTAATCGGCATCTTCGATATTTTCACTGATGAAATTGACAATCACATCTAATTCACGATTTAATAGATATTTGATATTCTCTTTTTCTTCTTGGTCATTGGAAATCAGCGATGAAGAATCAGATTTACCTGGAAGATGAGAGAGAAAATCAATGATAGAAAAATTGTTCTTACAGGTCAAGGGTTGTTCTTACCTTCAAATACTGTCTCAAGAGTGTCCAAGATCAACATGACCAGCGATTTATCCTCATCAACATCGATGACACTCATTTCTTCATCACGAACACCAATGTAAACAAATCGATTCGACCCCAAAACGGTCACAGTTTTTCCCAATTTCCGTATGAAATTCATATCAACCAGAAAGATGTAAAGTCTCCCAGGTTTCTGGTGTGATTCCAGTTTACCCAATTCTCGGTCAAAGTTTTCCAATGATTTGGCCTTTGTCCAAACTTTCTCCTCTTCGGCGGTCATTTTCTGACCCTCCAATCGATGTTAAAAGCAACACCGCCATCAGAAGTGATATGATTCCGAGGTAATTGAGAAGCCAATGATTCCTTATCCAAATCAACAGAAACAACCACACTAATGTCAACCAAATTGACGGTAGTTTGAAGATGGACCATTAAAGAGGCCACATCGGGTAAACTGTATCTAGAAGGTGATGTAGTCTTAATCCAAACAGGTAATCCGATCAAAACGATAACAATTAAATAGAAAATTGCAGAAATTAAGCCAAGTCTGTTAATCTCTCCATCATGTTTACCATCACTCTTTTCACCATCGGGAACATTATTTTCATCCAATCCGGTTGATTCCAAATTCTCAGTTAATTCAAATTTCATGATGATCACTTGTAATTATCACAAAGGAAAGAAAAATGATAAAAATTAACCAGAAAAAAACGAAACAATTTAAATCCAAATGATTCAATTAGAAATCACAACAAACCGATCAGATCAACAACTGAGACTGAGACTTGAAGGTAAACATATGATTGGGGGTCGACCAAACAACTTCAAGTGAAATTTTGATTAACTGAATTAATTCAGTTTTCTTCTGATTTTGGTTGATTGTTTTTTCTTATTGGTAATTAGAGAGGATTATTATTGTGTTCGCGTTTGGTTTTAATTGAAAGAGTTAAAGGTTTATTGGGTTTAGAGTGTTTTTCTTGATTCAACTTTAATTATTTAGATTATTAAGATTTAGTAAATTTTACAAGGATCCATTTGTTTTTCTGATTATGACAGAAACTAAATTAACTTTTGATTGATAAATTTACTACTACTTTTAGGAGAACTCGCGATCTTGCCTTTCTCGGAGTAATGGATAACGATCAGTTCTGTCAATCGGTTTATCATAAAAGGTTTTCTTAATAACAATAGCGCGAAACATGCAAGTCCAATTTTGAAACCACTGAAAAAGGCTTTATATCCATCCCAAGGTTTCACTTTTCTTACATCATAGGCCCAAGCATAATCTCTGTAAATTAATCATGTAAAGAATAAAAAAATTATAATCCAAAAATGTTACTTATAAGAGAAAACAGTTTCTTGATTAATTGATTTAGATTTCTCTTTCTCTCTGCTAATATTAATAAGTTTCTCTATTTAAAACAAGTAACCCACCTAATCCATGGATCTTTAAGACCTTTCCTTGCTAATCTATCACGATATTTAATCAATTCAGGGAAATTTTCATCAATTTTATCCCATTGTTTTGGATCAGGCATCTTAACTCCATGAGGAAAGTTGGGACCTGAGCCATGACCATCATGTCCTCCCATATTGTTTTTTATATCTAAACCATAAAAAGAATATCATTCAAAGAGAAAGTAAAATAAGAATAAAACCAAGATTAGAATAGAAAAGCAAAAATAATCTTAGAATTAGAATTACCTTTGTTGTTTATACCTTTAAGACTGTTCAACAATCGGATGAGATGCGAGTAATTTACGACAACGCTCGTTACTATTCTGCAATAAGGTGTGTACCAATGTTAATTTCCTTTTTAGGGCAATCAATTTTCGAGACTTTTCCTCTAAAATATTGAGAAATTGATCTTTTTCACTGTTCTCCTTTAAAATTCTTAACGCGTCCAGAAGAGCATCAAGTTGACCTTTCAATGCCAATTGACTATTTTCAACACGACAAACCTGATCCTCTAAATTAACCAAAACTGGTTCAAAAATTGATATTATATGTTCACCCAATGGTTGATCACCTTCTGTTGACATTGATGATCATCTAAAGGACAAAAAACAACAATAATATTAATCACAATTACAATTTAATTGGACAATAATAAGCAAAAGTAACAAACCTTTCAACAGAAATTATCAATTCCAATTTTTAATCAAAGTCAACAAAACGATCACGTGATCATTTGAGCGGCAAATTTGATTGGAAAAGAATTTTTAACCAAATTGGTCGACAGATGGCACCACCATTCACAAAAGTTCTAAAAAAACTGAAAATTAATTTGATAGCGAACTGATTGATTATTGATTGAATTTGGTTAGATTAAAGTGATTTGATTAGTGAAGAATTTCCTCAGTACTTTGTGCAAGAAAATAAACATGTTTGATGAGAGATTCGTAGTTGATATTATGATATTTTCGATTGCAACTGTTGTTGTTATTTTCTTTTTGTTCTGAGAAAAAGTTCTGTCATTTAAATTTACCGAAAGTTCGAGGATATTAAAATTCTTAGGTGCAACTTATTGATGGTAATAAATTCACAAGAAAATTATCATTTGAATGATTGATGTCCCAAAATAGAGAGCAACATTGTAGACATACACGAATACGAAAAGGGAGAGAGAGAGAGAGAATTCTAACTGAAAATTATCATGTAAAGTCTTTAGGTCTTAAAAAAAATAGAAAGATGATAAAGAAGATAAGGAAAAGGAGGGAGAAAAGGTGAAGAAGACGAAGAATATTTTTTTCTGGTTGGAGGAGAAGAGAAAAATATAATCTTCTCTACCACCAAGACAAAGGGCGGGAAGCGAAGGATGGAGAGAGAGAGAGAGAAGATCTCGATTTGCATGGAAAGTTATGAGAGAGAAGCAGAAAAAGAAGATGAAGAAGAAGAAGAAGATGATGATGATGATAGAGAAGTGAGTAAAATAGAAATATAATTTTGTTTGAATTGAAGTGAAAGATTATGCCTAAAGTCACGATTGAAAGAATGGCAAATAACTGGAATTAAGTCCATCCAAACCCGTCATTAAGCTCACCCCTCATCGGTCACTAGTGTTTCCATCATTCTAGATATGTACCTGATATCGATGACCAAACTGCCCAGTACCCAAAATTGATGTGTAAAAATTATCAATAACTTTTCATCATTAAAAGTATTTCAAAATTTCAAACTCGAAACAAAAGCAAAAATAATAACATCGATTCCAAAATAATAATATCAATACTTTTTTTTATTTGTTCACCTTTTGAGACAAATGTTCACGATTATCAATTATTTTTGTGCAACAATTTATTAGACAATTATAATAGTTACTAGATAATTTATTCTGTTAACCAGCAATTAGTTAAATTGTGAATTGTTATGTAAACAATAGGCAACAATTAGAAAGTGAATTTTTAATGAAACCAGAAAATTAAGTTAAACAAGTTGGATGAGAAAATGAAAACCAATAACTATTAATCAATGGAATTGCGCTCAGAGTAAATTTGAATAATCATATTAATTATAAATCGAGTTGATCAGAATAACAAAGTCAAGGATGATGAGGATGATAAGTGATGAGAATATGGAAGAAAGATGAAGATGATGAGCAAAGTGAAGGTTCTAAATTCTTAAATATGTAAAATACAGGTTAACCTTTTTCTCGTTTTTTTTTTATTCTCTTCTCTTGATTATTTACCTTTACCTTTACATTTCGTCTTCTTTTTCTTGACGTTTTTCCAAATAGATAATTTTACCCTTTACTCTGTCTCTGTCTCTCTCACAACTTTTCTCTCACTCTCATCATCTTGAAAATGCTTTTAACCACATAGTAATGATGAGAAGGATGTACAAGAGGATGATGATGATGATGATGATGATGATGAGTACTAGAATATGGTAAAGAGAGAGAGAGAGAAATTCTTACCGAATGTTTGATGAAAACAAAATATACTCTTTGCTTTTTTACCTCCTCCTTCAATTTACCTTTGTCTTTATCCTCATCATCATCCTCATCATACAGTATATTTACCGTGTGTTGGGGTGTCTCCGATGTTGTTGTTACCCTTAAGGCCTAACAACCCGCATCATTAAGGATACGATATCACTACAATTACAGTAAACACTAGTTTCACTTACCTGACTTTTTTATTCACTCTCATCATCATCATCACCAAATTTTTACCTTTCAACCTTAATTTTTGTTTTATTTTTTACCTGTGAAAAAATAGCAAAATGTGTTACAAGTTAGAAAGGCCAATCGATTGCAAGTCGATCACCTTGTTACTCGTAAACTTACAAAGTCCCTTGAATTTTCATCGAATCTCAAAGATGATAAATTTTCATCTTCAACTTTTGAGAGAGAGAGAGAGAGAGAGAGAGAGAGATGTTACCTTTAAGGAAGGTTTATCACCATTATCATTTTCTTTTCTTTTTCTTCATCATCTGACAGCAATTATCCCAAAGTGACCCTCTCATATTACTATAAAAGGAACTTCATCTTTCTTCAGATTTTTTTGTTTCTTCATCATCATCATCATCATCATACCTTTAGCGAGTTCCTGGTTATAGTTTCAAGAATAAGTTGATGATGATGATGATGAGAGAGAAAAAAATTCTTCTCCTAGTCAAAGTAATATTTATTTTCTTAACTTTTTCTCAACAACAAGAAAACGAAGTAATTTTCTCTCTCAGTCTCTCTCACTCTCTATACTATCAAATATATAATTTCTAGCTTTTCATCATCATCATTTTCTTACCTGTACCAATAATAATAATAACCAACCATTGTAAATATATGCACATCATTTCACAGTTAATTTCAATTACCTTTTGTTGTTAACAATGAAAAGATTAGTAAATGATAATGTCAACCTATTGTGGTGAACAATATTTACATAGTTGATGATCAGTTTATTACACTTATCTTGTTGTTATCATCAAAATCAATATAATTATCGTCAATTAGTCATGCATTTAATTGATATTGAGCATAAAATTACTGAACAAATGGACAATCAAAGTGACCAAAGTAATGAGAAAGTTTTTAGTAACTTTTTCATTGAAAGTCTATTGGGAAGCAAAAAATTAGGGTTATGTTTGGATTATCATGTATTAAATTGTGTGATCAGTTAATTCAATTGTGAGGTTGAATAGTTGATTTTTTTACCATCTATTTGTTGTTAGTCTATTAAATCATTAATAAATAATGTGTATGTGTGTATGTGTATATGCTGTTGGTTTATTAAGGTTAAATCCTAATTGACTCTTTGATTCAGTTAAAGGGATTGCAGGGATAACAAAAGATGATTTAACAATACAAATCAAGTCAATTGGAAACAATGGAAACATGAAAGTAGAATTTTTTTTCTGACTGTAGTAATAGGAAGATGAAAAGAGCATCATCATCATCATTATCATCTTCATCATCATTATTGGAAGATAGATAGAGAGAGAGTCCGATTTGAGAAGATAATTTGTTACCTGATCCCATCAGAAAGAAGAAGATGAATCAAATGAAGCAAAGCAAATAGAGGGAGAGAGAGAGAGAGAGATGGAGATGATGAGGAAAAGGTAGTGATATTTTGTTGTTACTGATGATGATTAGGATGAGAGGGAGGAAGAGGATGATAAGAGGATATAATCTTACGGTCAAGGTATCCGATTTCCATAGGCACGCGTTTTCCTAATAAGAACATTATTATACGGTAATTTGATTCGAGATTCGAGATTCGAGACTCACTAGTTAGTCTCTTTTTCATCATCATTTGGTATTGGTGATGATGAAGAAAATTGATAACATTCGAGCTTCTCTCTCTCTCTTGTCACCTTCTTCATCTTCATCATCTTTTACTGTCTCTCCATCTCTTCTTACTTTATCACATCGCACTTTCATATTATTCAATATGAGAAACTAAAGTGATGAAAATGATTATGTGGGTGAAGATTCTGATGAAGATGATGAAGATAAGGGTGAGATTCTCTCTCTCTCTCTCTCCTTTGTGCCTACTGTTTGTTTCCATCTTGAAAATGCCAACGTTGTGAAAAGATACTCATCTTACATCTCCCTGTTTCTGTACCTCTCAGTGGATGGAAAGATGAACATGATGACAGAAAAAGAAAAGAAAGAGTAAAAAAATAATTCATGAAGAAAACGAAAAGTAGAGAGAAGATGATTATCTCTCTCACTCTCTCATCATGATACATCTTCATGTTGATTTTTAGGCTTATAATTACAATCTGACGTAACCCAAATTTGATTGATTGTCTTTCATTTCATTTATCATTATCTTAACTGAGGGACAATACAAATTCACGTGAAAAAGTATCATTGAGATGGGAGATGATGATGATGATGATGATGAGGATGATGAGGATAATGATGATCAAGGGAAAGACAGAAAGGTAAGAATGATGAAGAAATAATTTACAAATGAATGAGAGTAGGAAAAAAACAATTTGCCACAAAATTTTGATTAATTTAATTTTAATAACTTTTGCAATTGTAAACAATTTCAAATCATGTCCACAATTAAAAGTAACAATTAACCAGGTAGGTTCTGTTTACCTTTGCATTTGTCATCCAAATTGATTAAAAGGTGAACACAAATTGTGAGTAAATAAAAAAATTGCAACGTAAATATAAAAATAAGTAGAAGGGTCAAGCTTATCCAATTGAGGATTAAGATTAGGGATTAACAGGTAAGACTGAAAACAAGTTTGTCATATTTCTGGTTAATTATAATCATTAGTAAGCAACAGAAATAAGTAAGAAACTGATTGATTTTTAAGGTGACATTTTTGGGTTAAGTTTGACTAAAGAGAGAGAGAGAGAGAGTCCCACTAATCACTTTGTTTTCTTACCTGTGGTAAGCCCTTTTGGTAACTTTCACTTTGTTCAAACATTTACCTGTCCTCAGGTAATCTCATTACTCTTAAAGGATAAACATTGGAGACTTGATAGTAACATCATTTTGGTTTTTCTCTGTCATTTGTTTCTCAATGATAACAAATCGATTTCTCTTCATCTTCTCCTCTTTGAAAAACAGAAAAATAATAATCTTCTCTTCCTTGTAGTCTTCCTATTGTCTACCCATCATATTCATTATCATTACCGATGATCATCTTACCTGTGATGAGACAAAGGCGTGGCTGTTGACTTCGGAAACCCCACCGAGTGTGAGTATTGTTAACATGATGAAGGAGGAAATTAATGAGATACGAGTGCGATATTACAAGAAAGATGGTGAGAAAAGATAGCGAAAGTGAAAGTTATCAAGATTAAGGGGAGAAAAAGTTATCACTACAATTGGAGAAATCAATTGGAATCAGTGCAAACCAATCAATTAGAACGAAAGAAAAAAACAAAATTAACAATTAACTTGATCAATTCGATGATGTTAATTGATGAAAAGAGGAAAAGCTAAAGATTGAAGATTAAGACCCTAATCCCTTAATCAATCCCTTTCTTGTTATTAGTTGATTATCACTTGAAGTAACTATGATAATAATTGTTAATAGATGTTAATTATTTACTATGGGACAAGCTACACTTTAACTAATTGTAAACGATCAATAGGATTGTCCATTTGAAAGTAGAAAACAATATTTACAAGATGAGGTTGGGATTCGAGTTGATGAACAGGTAAGAAAGAGAGTTTGAGAGAGAGAGAGAGAGAGAGAAGAAAAAAAAAGGTAAAGGTTAAGGTAAAAGTCTTTCAGGGTAAAGAGTTAATAAGATGATAATGATGATAAGAAAGAAAAGAAAGAGAAGATAAAAAGACCACCAAAGTGCAATCGAATAGGAAACAAAGCTTTAGTTTCTCATCAACTGTTTGCCGACACACATAAAGATGAAGATGATGATGAAGATGATGAAGGATGAAGAAGATGATAAAGGTGAAAGTCAATGATAATCATTTAAATGATGAGGATGAAGATGAAAGATTATGTTGTAAGAAGATAAAGATTAAGGGTTTATATTTCCATCTCTCTCTCTCTCTCGCTCTCATAATTTATCCTCTCTCAATATGTAATGATAATCTCATGATAATCTGTTGCAATGAATTTCAGATTAACCATAAAGGTGAGAGAAAAGGATTAATCTCAATTTGATTTTAATCCATTTCCATTTCTAGATTAACAAATTGCTCCTTTAATAAGTCTAATTTGTTATTACCAATTATCAGATTGAAACATGATTAAAGTTAATTTGATTGAATGAAGAGGTCAGGTCATGTTGTTGATCAATTAGTTAATCATAATTGGATAATCAATATCATATCCTATTGAAAAGCTGAACCATTAATATAACGATTAACTTTGATTAGAGTTGATCAATTTAATAAACAATTTACTGGACATTTATTATCACAATTTAAAAGTATTAATTTAGTTTCAATTGATCATTTAAAAAATTTGTATACATTAAATTGTGATAAAATAACAATTTATCATCAATGTTTATAAGCAACTTGATTAGTTAATCATTTATTAGTGAGATGATCAATCAATCAAATCAATGGTTGAAATATAAAAAAAAGGTTGATAATCAAATTAAATTGCACCTTCCTGATTTGATTAAGTTGCAACTAAATTGCAATTGATTAAACAACAAACTGTTTGTCAATATGATTATTTCAAATTCATCCCTAATTGTTATCATCAAATCAATCAATCAATTGATTAAACAACATTAAAAACAAGAGACTTATGAAATGAACAATTAATTGATTGTGATATTTGCCTATTCACATGAGTGAATATTAGTAACAATTAAAAGATAACCTTGAAATTATATGAGTACAACAAAATTTGTATTGATTAGTAGGTGAAAAATTGAAAGTAATTAACAGATAATCAATTGATTATCAGCAATAAAAATAATAACGATTATGATTGATAATCAAGCGGAGGCCAGAGTTTATTGATGCTTTGCAAAAATGAGTAAAAAAGTTAAATTAATTTAGTAAATTGTAAAACTCATTGGAGTGAAAATGAATGAATTGTGATCAATTGGTTGCTTACGGTGTGGTCCCGGAATCGTTTTTATGATTAACTCAACCTATTAAGGAATCAGACTAACATTTAACTGTTGAGTTACGGTTCATTTGCATATTGTGTTGATCGCGACGACAACACCACAGAATCGGCGTCAGGAGCAGTCGATGTTGCCGCCAGGTATCGTTAAGAAAAGAGAGAGCGAAGTAAATTAATGAAACGAAAGTGAAAAAAGTAAAAGTGAAAACAATCAACGAAAAGAGGGAGTGAAAAGGGTTAGGGTTGAGAAGAGGATCAGGAGGAAGATGAAGATGAGAAGGAAGAAAATAGAAATAGAGAGAGAGAGAGAGACAGATACCAGACACAAGAAGGAGAAACTTACCTTTTCTTTTTTATTCCAAAGAGAGAGAGAAAAAAGAATCAAGGTAAAGGCGAAAGGTAAGAAAACGTAAAGAGTGAAAGGTCATTATTTAAAAAGATCGGGAGGTCACTATGAGAGAGAGAGAGAGAGCTAATAATGACCTGAACTGAGGACTAAACGAGTCAAAATACATACGAATATAGGGTAACAAAGGTCAAGACTGACCAGTGAATAGTAACAAAGGTAACTCGAGCTGGAAGGGTAACAAGGACTCGCACTGAAAACAACATCAAGTGTCAATTTACTTTTACCTTGTTGTTATTTGGGTAAATTATTCATTGTTAGTTTGTTACCTTTACTTTTATCAACAACAACAAGATGATAATGATGATTGAGAAAACAAAATCATCAATGACTCAGGTAAAGATGAATGAAAGTTTACTAAAAATGACCCAAGGTATATGAATGAAATCTCACACGCAAGGTCACTTTCCCTTTATCTTCAATCATCATCATCATTATCATTATTATCTTCATCATCAGTATTATCAACAATCAACTATTTCATGATAAACTTACGCTTCAATCAACAAGTCACGTAGATGATAATAACAATCAGTAAATTGTAAATAAATTAATACCAATCGGCATCACCTTAATTTTTTTTTACATCAATGTGTTTACATGTTATTATTGTATTACTGTTGTTTTGATTGTTGTGATTACCTTTTTGTTGTAAAAATCTTAACAATTCTGATTGATGAGGATAGTTAATCATGATGATTATAATAATGAACGAGAAAATGAAAATACATTCAAACAATTTGATTGGAAAATGGAGTAACTTCAATTGTAGCATCTTCGAGATCAACTATTAGTTTACTTCATCTCGGTGACAATTTACATCTCCAAATTTAATCACTAATCATGATGATCAATCGATTGATTAGTTATTCTTACCTGGAAACAATTTACCTTTTCCATTGAAATTATTACTCTGTTTTTGGTCACTTTTACCTTGACCATTCTGATGGACAATAAAGTTTTGAATTCTCATATTATTCCGATAAAATAATGCTAATGATTAAGTGATGTATTAGTTAGTTAATTGTTTACTCAATCAAAGTTTATTTGTGAAAATATTGTTAATCATTATTTAGATTTGATTTACTTTTTTTTCTCGCTCAGTTAATTGTTGGGTTTATTTAACAATTGAATGGATCATTGTAATCATCGTCATGTTTAATACAACAGGTTACAATTAATTTTAATTTTTTCAGGTCTTGACAATCAAAAAGTTAAATTGTTGATAATGAATTTTGTATGATCAGAATAAAAAATATATTCTTTCAATTTTGATTGAAGGTTTTTTGCTTCTTGAAAATGGTCAGTTTCAATTGATTGGTCAGTTTGTTTGAAATTTCAACTGGTCAAACTTTTAATAACAATAACTTGGTGAATATCAAAAAGTTAATCAAATGTTGATCGGAAATGTAATTGGGCGATTGTTACTTTGTAGGCAAATTGTAATTGTATGTGATTAGGTATTTGATTAGAAATTAATAGGAAACAATCAGATTAATAATCAAATTGTTGTTTAACTAATCAAAACACGTGCTCGATGATACGAGAAAAAAAAATCATGAGAAAACACTGATTACAATTAGATAATCACCTAACGGTTGCCCTTAAGTCAAACGGATTAACTTGATATCCTAATGATTGGTAAAAAATATGACAATCATGAGATTATCAGTGATTATTATTAAATTGTTACAAATCAATCAAGTTAATTTAGGTATCCAATCATTAGTTTTGTATCTTCATCTCTCTCTCTCTTTCATTTCTCTCACCATAATAGACAATAAGTGCTTCTGGGTAATGCGATTAAAAATCAATCCAGATTAATGTTCACTAATCTCTGGAAGAAGATGAAGAAAAAAAAACCACAAGAGAAGAAAAAAACTGATCTTCCTTGTCTTCCCTCTCTCATCATCATATTCGCACACTTATTGTTAAGGTGGTGAGAGAGAGAGAGAGAGAGAAACAAAACTCTTGACATTTGAGAAAACATTCTCATCACATCAACACACAGTAAAACCCTTCAAAATGTCAACGAATGTCCATTAAGATTAAGGAAAAAAAGAAAAACTGACCAATAGAACCAAAAAGCGAAAACTTTATCATCATTAATGTTTAGAAGAAAAGAGAGAAAAACATCCACCAGATGGCGATAGTCGAAGAAGAAAAATTTGACAAAAAAGAGAAAAAGAAAACTTTAAATTCTATTCGAAAATCTAATGTAAAAAGAGAAAAAAAATCATTGGAAAAATGAGATAGAAAATCGGAGAAAAATGATACAATAGAAACAATTGGAACAGAAAATGTACCCTTACAGTCAATGGGAATTCTCATTCGAAACCAGAAAATAAATGATAATATTTTCTGAAGAAAAGTAAAGTTATTCGACTCCTGCGCATTTCGATAAACTCCTCCCAACGAATGGTTTTCAGTTTGAGGAAAAACTTTCTCCTTGATTGTAGACACATACACACTTCGTATGTTGAAAGTTTAGTTAGTTAACAACTATAATAATCATCAGTCTGTTGTTGTGTATTTTTTATATGTATGGTTATCATCATCACAATCGCCACAATCAACAACAATCTTAAATCATAGTTAGTGATTTGTAAGTTGATTGTTTACTTTGATTGGTCTTCATAGAAAAAATTCTGTAAATTCTGTTGCTCATGTTGTGAGAATTTCTTTTCGTTTTCTTGGTTTATTTTTATTTTTATTTACTTTTTATTTTCTCTCCCATTTTCTCTTGATTATTTTCACTTGATTCCTAACTGATTCAGTGTGTAATGTCCAATAAATCGGGATTCATGGATATCCAACAGCAAATAAACATGAGTTCTCATCATCAAAATGCTTATTCATCAATTCGTCCAAGTTATTCAAGACCTGGAACTCAATCGGCTCATGAAGCTTTCGGTGAAGCTCAATCATCCCCAATGTCAATGAGTGATTATCCTTTTTCATCAATGAACAATTCATCTTTACATAATTCATATACTCATCATACTGGACATCATTATATGAGTTCATATCCAAACAATATAACATCATGTCCACCCTGTCCAACTCCTCCAAGAGACGGTAAGTAGACAATTAATCAGCAACAAAAAAAAACAACAACAATACAAAGTAATTAACCAAAACAATCACCAAATCATTAATGAAATTTTATCTCTTCTTGTTATTCATCATCATCTTCAACCATCACCATCATCATAATCATCATCAACAACTTGACCATTTACAATTGCGACCACAACAATCAAAACGATTCCAATTCCAATTCCAATTCCATTTCTATTAACGGATAATAACTAAACTGCTCTTCTAATTGTGATTTGTTAATTGTGATCTATCAATGGATTGATTTTTTTTTATCCTTCTTGTGTTGACCTTTTCCGCTCTTTCATCAACTTTAACAATCAATGGCGATTCAACGATCAACAGAGAAACCAGAATTGGAAGGAATATCAACTCGTGTAAACGGAAAAGGAAAAAAGAACCGGAAACCTCGTACAATTTACTCAAGCAATCAACTCGCACAACTTAACCGACGATTTGCTCGAACACAATATTTAGCTCTACCCGAAAGAGCTGAACTAGCAGCGTCTTTAGGACTCACCCAGACACAGGTAAGGAAATGTTTACCTTTTCATTGATCATTTTTACGTTTTTTTTTGTTTTCATATTTTTTTTACTTTTTATTTGATCTGTTAAAAGTGAGAGAGAAAAGAAAGCGAGAGATAAAAATAGATTAATGATAATCTCCCAATTCATCTAGTGATTATAAAAATTATCACACCGGTGATTTAGTTAATCATCTTGATCTTTAAGAAAAAAAGTTCCGAAATTAGTTAAAAAGAGTGAGAGAAGAGATGAAAAAAAAAAATATTGATCAACTTATTAATCTCAATCTGAACCAAAATCGACAAATGAACATATGATAAAAACAATTTCGAAAAGTTCTAATGATTAATATCAACTAAACATCTCAGTGGAGAAAAACGATTAACCAAATAATTGTGTTCGAATACAAGAATAGAATCTCTCGAATTTCTATTGATTTGACAATAAGAACAGTTTCAAGTTCGATATGACGATAAATATCTAATTCGTTCTTAAATTGGTTTCCCAGAATCGTAGAGTCCTAATTTCGTCCCCAAATTTCCTAACCTAAATTGAGAAGTTTATTTTTGTTTACTATCAAATTATCGGGAAGATGAAACAGTTTATCAACTTTTGCGCGCTTAATTGTGTTTACTTTTCGTGTTCATTTGTCTCTCCCAGTTTTGAGCTGATATTTTATCACAATTCAGTTTGAGTGCTAAAGTTTCATAACCATTTTCTTGAATAATATCATCTTGTTTTGAAAGCGCGTTTTTTACCGCCATGCGTAGTTTTTTATCCATATCAAGTTTCTCAGCTCTCTCTCTCTCTCTCTCTCTCTCTCTCTTTATCCGCTCTCCTCCGAGTCTTGATGCCCTCAGGGTATCCTCGCCCTTGCATTCAATTTCTGTGCTTGTTGTTACTTTGCTGTTTCATCTTATTCATCATCATCATCATCATCTTTTCTTCTTTTTCTCTTCCTTTCCTTTCTTCCTCTCTCTCTCCCTCTCTCTTTTTCTTCGCCTTCTCTTCTCACAAGCTTGTATTTTTTTTCTTCAAATTTCATTGCATGTTAAATGCCCTCAGGCTTTTTTCTCTTATCTCTTCTTTTTTTTATCATCATCATCTTTTTTTTTATACTAATGCTGTGAATATACAGCTCTGTGTAACCTTCATATGGATGAGATGGTCCAATGGTCAGGCCAAGAGTGAGGGAGATGATGATACATCATCCTCTCTCATCATTGTGCATTGTTGTTACTGTCTTCATGGTTTTATTCATCTGTATCTCTCATCATCATCATCATCATCCTTCTTCCTCTTTCAAGTTTACTCATATTCATAAGATTTTTGTTGTTGTTCATCATCATCATCATTTAGTAACTTTCATGTGTTCATCAACAGTTAATTGTTTCACTTTGCCCGTAACAATTAACAACAATGTTGACAATAAATTCATGAGATGCAAACATAATTTCATCTCATTCATTAAGATAATATGAAGAAAAAAACAAATGATTATAAAGTCAAGGATTAACCATAAGAGAGATTAACATAAATCCAAATTTAAATTGCTAATTAATGAACGAAAAAAAAAGATACCAACACTTAATTGTCACAATGAAACTAATCAATTACAACTTACAACAGTAACTGATTGATTAAGATGGATTAACATACTAATAATTAAATTATAAACATTGAATCAAAAGTTTTACAAGCAGAAAGAAGCAAAAAACAAACAAACAATTAAATTTAATTGTAATTAAAATGACAATCAATATGAAAGTAAAAAGAAAACATTTTTCTCAACTTGATTAGTTAACTAACTAAGAACTAATTTCCACTTGATTTAACAACATCAATAATTGTCCTTGGACACAATCAACTAAATAACCAGTTCCCAATTTGTTAACCAACATCAACATCATCATCACAATCAAATAGTATTTTAATGTTTAACCAAACATTCACATTCACAATTAGTTAAATTGTCAACCAATTGGATGAAAAAACAAAACAACTGAAATAGGAAAATGAAAAGGTGAAAAACAAAAACTCAAATTCTGATACAGGTAACCCAATATTTAACATGAGAACAATTAACAGATTATTATCGTTAATCATTTAATGAAAATGTTACTGTTAATTTACTTGAAGGCCGACAAGCAAATGCTGAAAATACAATCAACATAATCATGACAATAAATGATAATATATAAGTTACCTGATTCCAATTGATTGAGTGAGAAAGGTTCGTGTTTAAGTTCAGAATGAAAATATTATCAGTGAATAAGAAAATGAAAATAAATATTATATATGAAAATCTACATGAAACTTTTGTTATCATTTCTGTTGATAGTCAACATGATGATGGAGAAAAATGTATGTTAATATACAGAAAATGTTGATTAACTTATTACCTGTAAGATGAATGGTCAGTTGCGTGTTTATCTCTTATGGGCCAGTCCATTGTTATCATTTTCTTTTCTTTCATTTTGTTTTTATTTTTCTTCTTTTTCGCCTTCGCCTTCGCCTTTACCTTCGTCATCATTTTCTATCATCATCATCATCATCATAATATTTTCTTTTTTTCTTCTTCTTCCACTACAAGGAAAAAGAATATTTCTTTACCTTGTCCATCGAAAAATTCATCATCTTCTTTTGTTCGAACAAGAAAAAAAAATAGAAGGGAACTTTTTTCTCTTCTCTTTCTTTACCTGTTTTTCTCTTCTCTCTCATATATATATATATGAGAATGTTACTCAATGGAAATAGAATAAAATTTTTATTAGAACTTTTTTTTTTCTTCCCTTTTCATACTCAGATATATTCGTTCCTCACGCAATATCTAAATATCTCTTGATGGTTCATGTTGTTGATTATGTTTACATGTTCACTTGAGTTCTTAAAATATTAGCACCAAGAATAAGTGTTTAGGGAAAAATATGAAAAGTTTTTTTTTCCTTCAAGATCAGTTGTAACCTCGATTCAGTGAATTTGTTACCTGGTCATTTCCTGTCCACTTTTGATGATTCATATATCTCCGATTTTGTTGATTCTATTTGAGTATATTTGCCTAATATTTTCGAGCTGATTGATTACATGGCTACTGTTTATTCATTTGAATGATAAAAAGATGCTGATGATAACTTGATACATTTTTTTTTCTTCTTCACCTTTTGTTTTCCTTTTTCTTTTTGTTTCTTCCTTTAGGTTATCTTCATCATCTTTAGGAGCTTCTCATCTTACCTTTAAGTGATCTATCTTACCTGTTTCTCTCTCATTCACTTTTTCTCTTTGTTCTCTCTTCATCTTCATCTTCATCTTCATCTGCAGAATGTATTAAGATCTATTCTCACCTTTTTTCTCACCTTGTTTTCGATATGAAGAAGTGGCATGTTATCGGCTCAGCAGGGAACTTTTCACTTTTCTCCTCTCTCTCTCTCTCTCTCTCTCTCTCTCTTCTCTCTCACCTTATCATCTTTTATCTTCATCTTCTTTTCACCATATTGGTTAACATCTTTATCATCATTTAGTATGATTAGTTATTTATCCTTCTTGTTGACTTACAATCAACTTTTAATAGCTACCGTTGATAGTCAAGGCCACCTAAATTGATTAGATCATTATTTAAGGGACAATTAACCACAATTACACGGTCATCAAAGTGATTCATTGAAACAATCAGTCTCTTTTTTATATATATAAATTTAGTAGGATAACAATTAACTTAATTGTAACTACTTTCAATAGTCATTAAGATTTATCTGTTTCAATCATCACCGTTTCCACCATTAAGTGTCTCCAATTGGATCATTTAATTAACTTAGTCTCAGTTTTTCATTCAATTCCAGAAAGATGACCATTACCTGTTATCATCATCATGATCATCATTTTCCAGTTCCATGCTCTTGACCCTCTCAGTGGTTTCTTTTTTTTTATGTTGACCAGAACTTTTTTTTTGGAAACTGTCATCCCAACGATAATTTTGATTACTACTTTCTCAATGTTCTGGTTAAATTTGGTTCGTTGGTACCAATTGTAGTTAGTTAGTCAAGTTGAAAGTTTTACAATTAATTCAGCTCAATTTAAGGCGAGTTTAAGTTAACGGTAGATTGCGAAAAGATAGTGAGCCTTAAGATGAGAGAGAAAGAAAGGATTTTTCATCGAAAACCAGGAAATGTAAAGTTTATTTTTCTTCTTCTCGACTCATTCGACTTTCTAAATCGTATTAATCCGTTTGTGTACTTTTTGTATGAACCAAACGGAAGATAAAATTAAGTTTTTGGTCTAAAACATTGATAATACGTTATAACGTTGGTGACGTTACGTTCGTTGTGATAGTTCAGTTCGACAACCTTTTTTTTCTATTCTCAACTTTTTTTTTTCCTTTCACCGAATTTGTGACTTCGATTTCAATTTTTATTTCAAATATTTCAACTTCTCTCTTTCTCTTTCTATCATCACTTTTTGTATCCTGTCCTCTCTTACATCTTATATCGTTCTCTCTCTCTCTCTCTCACTATTTTATCCAATCTTATCCAGTTCTTATCAGCAATTAGCTCAGCTTATCTTGAGCTTAAGTATTAGCTCAGTATAAATGTATTGGTAAAACTTTTTGAAGCGTAAAATTTGGTTCCAATATTGTTTCTGATGATAAGTTTCCTCCATTATTACCTTACCCATTTCACTTTAGCACATACACACACTTGAATCTTTCTCTCTCTCTCTCTCTCTCTCTCTCTCTCTCTCTCTCTCTCTCTCTCTTACTTTCTTTCTCTCTTCTTCTTTCCTTACCCTGTATACAGTCGACTGAATTTCCAGTTTACTGCAACATCGTGAGTACGATCAATACCTGAGTAAAGATGAAAAAGAAGATGAAGTTTACAAGTAAAAAGGGATATTTGTTACTCTCTTTTTGCTTTCAACTTTCAAGAAACAAATAAACATCAGACTTGTTTTTTTTTCATCTAAAAAAAGATATCAAACTAACATATACAAAACAGAAAATCAGAGTAAACAG